CAGAAAGTCATTTGTTGAGTAAAACTGTAATAATGAATGTAATTCTTCCCGATCCAGTTGGCCCTGTAAAACTTACTGTCGCGGCCCGTAAAACTTTCAATTGGCAGTCGTCACTTGGCAATTTAGGATGTTTTCCTACAGCCGCACTGGATGGGCTGAGTTTGGTTAAGTTGACAACAGTCTTCGTATTGCCGGACTTCTCCGTTAGTTTTACGGCAAAAAGCTCAATGCGAACATGGCTATTGGTGCCACTCAAAGACAGGGTCTGGAGGGGTCAGGATAATTGGGGCAAATATGCCCTTCCTCCTGGCCCTACTGGGAGCCAATTCGTGTCCCCAGACCTCAGCATCCCCTCCCCCCCCCCCTCAAGCCAAGAAAGACATGAGTGGGTCACTATGCAGCCACAACATCGAATCTTTGATTGAATATGAAGGAAAATAGATTGCAGCAATGCTCGACGACCTATGACCAATGACGGATTATACCATGGTTAAAATGATTACCTCGTATCAGTACGACGGGTCAAGATTGGACGGCCTCTCATCCAATTCATTACTACAAAATCAACCTGAATTATGACTGGGTGTTTGTGGTAAACGCCCTAACAACTTTACGACCATTACCCGGGTAAATCAGCTTGCTGGCCCGGTAAGATGAACTCATTCGGGACATGACGAAGCAAGTAAATTGTGGGTTACCGAGTGTAAAGCAGGAATACTTTAATGGACACCGTACGCTTTTCCCAATTAAAGGAACAACACAATAAATCTGAAGCAGGTTATTAAAGAATGTAACATGTCGTTATTTCAGCTAAGTAGATGTACTTTGAGAAAACTGTGAAAATATATCTTTGTTTTTCTCCTCGCAAAACATGTTTTTTCCGTTGCAAGGAAAAAGATAAGGAAATGATGGTAACTTCCACTTTTCTCAAACAAGACGGCATACTAGGCACAATTATTCCACAGGTTGCTTGATCCCGTTTTTTAATTTACAATCAAGAAGGATATTTCAATTTGACAGTTTCATTTTTGAATGCTTGCAAATGGTGTCAATTACCTGCAAAGTATTTTTTTCAAAAGAAACTTTATCTGCAACTCATCGCTATATAACACTAAAAACAAACTCAGCCAATTCGTGTGAACGATTCAGGTGGTCATTTTGCTTTGGAAGTTCTTCATCCACGTTAGAGTTCATCGAGAAAAAAATTGATACTTTACTATTTTTCAGATTTAAACAATATTGCATTAATAAAGGTTTAAACCATACGGTGAAATTACTATTGTTACATGACCTCCTGGACTTTTTTTTTATTTTTTATGAAACTCAGTCCTTACGTTGTCAGTTTCCTAGTTCGGACTTCGGAAAACTGAAGACAATAATTACAGTGAATCGTAATTGATGAATCTGTTCCAGCTGCTGCCCATTTTCTTTCTCCCGTAGTTCTTTCCGGGCCGGCCGGCCTTCATCACGGGCGGGCAGGGCAGGGGCTGGGTCGTTGGCCGTCCAGGGCCGTTCTTCAGTGATCCCATCCTCCCCTGACTCTTGGAGAGACCGGTATCACAACAAACGATACGGACCAGCACTGTGTCCTCCGATGCAGTAGCAAAAACAAGCTTCTACAGGAGGAAGTCCTCCCTTCGTGGACTTGGCATCAACCTATACATAACTATGAGAGTTGTTTTGAAAGCAAATCAAGTGAGGATGTGGCGATAATGCGTTCAAGATCACGATAAGAAACCCCTGCGTCTTGCTTGTTGAAGTGAGCTACACACACGTGGAACACATTGTGTTCAGCCAGGATAACACCATCCGGTGAACAACATTACACCTATGTCCCCGTGAGCAATGCTTCAGATTTCTGTATGAGATAAAGACTTTCAGGGCTAAATTTCAAAGATCTGATGAGTATACTCGGTAAATGTACATCGTGGAGAAAATGGCTTTCCACATAAGACGAATCCGGATAATATACGAGGAAATTAACCAAGTATGGAGAACCTCGTTATAACGCGAGTCGACTGTTTCTGCTGAGCAGAAACCAGCCGAGAACCATTCACAAGCGAATAGCACTACATGAAATGTTGGCTGGTAAGCCGTTTTTGCTTATCGGATATGGCGTGCTTAACAACTTTCCGTTTTTTATCGGATCCATTAACTTGGCCCCAAGAAACCTAATTTGAGGTTCGACAAAAATAATGTCAAGCTCAGTATTTAGAGGTTTTAACGACGGTGTTGGCTCAGTGGTTGGTCTTAAAGATAGTGCCCTGGGACTATCATATAATAGTTCTTGTACAAAAATGGACCTTCCAAACACAAAATGACAAACAAAACAATATTGACAAACGGAGGGACTAAATATCAGAATATCGACGACCAACAGTGAAGACAAACAGACACGCATTATTCACAGACTGGAGAACGGACAAGATTAAACATACACACAACAGAATGAATCCCACTTCCAAAGTATAGGCCAGGGAAGGATCGCACCTCCAAGATGCGAAAGCGGAAATAGGCGGACTACAACAATTAAAACGACTTCACAGCTCCGGTGATCCGTTTGTACGCCAGCCACCTGCTCGCTGCGGTCCCGTGTGGATACAAGACTAGCAACTGCCAACAAGTCCCTGGATGCTTCAAGTGCATGGCGGACGAGAATCGGTGTCACACATCTTGCCAGGGACGTTCATAATGAGGGCGGATGCACTTTGGTCTGGGAGTCAATTGGGAAAATTCACTTGCCAATGATTGAACCAGGCTTGAGACAAGTCTACTGGTCGAAGGGAAGTAGCCTATCCTGCCATCTATCATGATTATAGGTGGCGCTTCATGGCTTGCGCTGTAGACAATCCCTACCGTGCACATAAGTTGCGATCATCAATGAACAAGTAATGTAGTGACGAGGCTGTGTGCATCAGAAGACATAGCATCCATCCGGTCCGGTTTGAAAGTAGGGGCGTAAATCCCGGGGGACGGGGGGGGGGGGGTATATCCCCATACACTTTTAGACGGGGGGGGGGGGGGGGCTGGCTATTGCAATTTTTGGATTTTGGTTTCCCCCATCCCCCACCCGCCGGCACAGATTTACCACTGTTTGAAGAGTGCATTGCAAAGAGCAGCTCTTTGCATTCCACTCTCTTGCCTATTTCCATCCATCCCCATTAACTGAAATATTGAATTCATTTGGCTAGGCCTGAGACATGAGATAGCGTGTATGGGCTCCGTGCGCGAACGAGAGTGGGCGCTTATTATTTGCCACCTTCGAGAGCAAGCACGTGGCGTGGCCATGGATGGGCGGAACACACCGCGTACGGTCTCCCTTAGACTGTAATGGGGACAGGGAACCAGATGAGGTCTCCCCAAGTCTCCCTTCCTCTTACCATTGAGGGGGTACTTGTGCACGGAGCCCAATCAGCCCATAGAACTTCCTGTAATTTGGCGACGTGCTATATATATATATATATATATATATATATATATATATATATATATATATATATATATATATCATACAATAAATTCAGAATATGAGTAAAACAAACTTTGGCATATCTCTCTTCTGGACAGACTGTTTCGTACCATAAGGCACTCATCAGCAGATGAATGCCTTATGGTACGAAACAGTCTGTCCAGAAGAGAGATATGCCAAAGTTTGTTTAACTCATATTCTGAATTTATTGCATAGCTCTACAGAGATGTATCGAGCACTGTGAATTGTGATAGAAGACGATTTCATTGGATATATATATATCATATATATATTTTAAGTGTCGATATTTACAGTATCAAAAGCGTATGCCTTTTCGAGTGTGAGTACTGAAGATTTTCAAACCATCTCCAGCGGCTTTCCCAAATCAATATATATATCGGAAACAAGCCAGCCGCACGCTCTGTGCCATGTACAGTACAGTACTTATATTAGATGCGTTTCCTCTGCACAGCACTGACCGTATTACTTGCTCAGGAAAGGATCGTCTACATTTTGTTAGTAATTATATCGACTGAAAAAAAATTAAGTGATTTGTGATAATTTTGGTCGAGTCCCTAGTCATGCAGGTCGAGTCCAAGTCCAATTCCGAGATGGTCCGAGTATGGGCCTTATTCACGAGTCGGCCATATTGAATTGACTGAGTGAGGTAAAATCTTAATGTTTAGAACTTGCGAAGAGAAATGAAAGCAAGTTCATCTATAATAAATTCCAGTCTGCTTCAATGAATAATTTAAAATTTGTAATTACACATTCCCTAATATTAAAGCCACATTTTAAAAAAAATGACAGTAAAATAAGGCTGCATTGTGCCTGCATAAATAGTCTGGCGCCATCCCATTACATATGCTCTTGCGTGAGGGATCATCCTTATACTATCTGATTAATGAGCGCGCTGTTCAATATATGTGACAGACACATAATTTTGCATAATTAGAACGATGTTGCTGAAAAAAAAAAAAAAAGGAATAAAGAAGGGAGGACGCAACTCCCTCCCCCCCCCCCCCGTCATCTAGCAACGCACCTGTATCTGGAAAGTGACCAACAGTCACGCCCACTGCCCCCGCTTATTTTTTTTTAATAAAATAGAGGGCGCTGCACAATCTTTAGATTTGCAATCAGTCCATCAAAGGTTTTTAAGCCCTCGATAAAATGCAATATTTTACTTCTAGAATTAAGGGTGCATTCTGATTTTAGAAGTAGCACCATTTCATCCACACCAAAAAGGGGAGAGACGGGAATACAAATATATTTTGAAATTACAGAATGTATTTTATTTCACAGAGAGCCTTCCCTTTTTATGTGTTTGTGTGACTTTCGTTTTGTATAAATAACAGGACTAGCTCAAGTTTAGTGGTATCAGCCGGCCGGCGAGATGATATGCGACAGTGTTCGTGCGAATTCTCCTCAGGATTTCCGCTGTTCTACGTCGCTGAAGTGAAGTGAAGGGATATTTCGGGGAAAATTGTGGCTGGTAAAGGTAATGAAGGGTTAGTGAACATGTTTACGTGCATATAAAAATCGAATAGATTGCCATTATGCCAAGTGATTTGCTGAATGAATTCCTTGGATTGGAGTCAGTTCAACAGTCGGATTTCTTTCTGGTGAGTAGAGCCAGCCAGAGCTGTTTCGTCGTCATGGTCATTGTTGATACTGAGTAGTTTCCATAGTTGTGCAGTGAGTTATAATGCATGGTGTACTGTCCTTGTGAAGTCTAATTATTCTTATAACGAATTGTTGGTAATCCTTCTCTTTAGGACCCCGTTCCTTAAACATGTTAAACTTGGTTAAAAGACTGGTACAACTATAGAATGCAGGTCCACTCCACTCTACATCCGCACCTCCGTACGGCTGCGTGGAGGCGTGGAGCCGCAGACGATATGGCAGTCGACCTACCTCCAAGAATTGCGCCCTCTATCGGCGCGCATCTCCGCGACTCCGCGGCTCCAGTGCCCCGTCGCCCTCCCTTCCTTTGCGAGGAAATAAAAAAAATGGATATGGATGCTTCGTTCTCTAAAAAATACCGCCGAGAATTGCGCCCTCTATCGGTGCGCAACTCCGTGCCTCCACGGCTCCAGTGCCCCGTCGCCCTCCCTTCCTTTGCGAGGAAATTAAAAATGGATATGGATGCTTCGTTCTCAAAAAAATACCACCGAGAATTGCGCCCTCTATCGGCACGCGTCTCCGCGACTCCGTGACTCAACGCCTCCACGGCTCCAGTACCCCAACACATTTAAACGGCTGCGTGGAGGCGTGGAGCCGCAGTCGACCTACCTCCGAGAATTGCGCCCTCTATCGACGCGCGACTCCACGGCTCCAGTGCCCCGTCGCCCTCCCTTCCTTTGCGAGAAAATTAAAAATGGATATGGATGCTTCGTTCTCAAAAAAATACCGCCGAGAATTGCGCCCTCTATCGGCGCGCGTCTCCGCGACTCCGCGCCTCCACGGCTCCAGTACCCCGACACATTTACAAGCGCGCCCTCCCTTCCTTGATGAGAAGAGAAGTGCATTCGCTGTACTTAGCACTTTTTGCAGGTCTGCATATTATTATATTGTAGCCTCTTAATACTCCTATCCTCACATCGCCGGCCTCGATCCACGCCTCCAAGTAGAGAAAAAAACCTTGCTCCGGCGTGGCCCTGCATTCTATAGTTACTCCAAAAGACTCACCAAAACAACTGACTAAATTATATGACGTTAATAAATACCTTGGAGAGTTGATGGTTTCTGATTGGTCGAGACTCGATCACGTGGCCGGGCATTAACGGTGATAATGACCGGCTTCAAAGAACAAGCGAATAAATGGCCCCTGAACCAGCATTGATCCAGCCCCATGGAAGGCAATGATTGGCCAAATTTACAACAGTCATACGGCAGCTTGTAACAATACAGCACTGCACATGCGCTCAACCACCTTCGCGTGAGACTGACGCGCGCGTACGCAACACAGTTACTATGGGTGCGCGCGCGTAAGGAAGTTTTGAAACGACATCGTACAGCGACAGTGCACTATACTGAGGATTTTACGACGAAAGAGTGGATCTACGATTTATTTTCTGTAAATACTTCGCCCATCGACAAATTTACCTTTCCTAAACCAAGCATCTTTGTAATTCTGGACACAAGGAATGTGTAAACGAAATTTCAGCTTCCTCCATAAGGTAAAAATATTAAAAAACATTGTTGTAATTTGTTTGGCTACGGCAGCAGAAGTCGTACGCGTACGCAATGAAGACGTTGCAATTGTCCAGCGCAGCCTGGGCCCGGCTGTGGTGTATATAACAACGCTTATTGAAGAGACAGGGTACCACGCATAAGCTAAAATATGGCCCATGAACATGAACACAAAAAAGTCTGGAAATATCGCCGGGAAAAAGTCACAAAATTGGAGCATTTTAACTGTTTATTTCGTTATAAAGGTATTTGTTAATGGGAATAACAGTGTGAGGATCCGGTCTTCACTGCGTGATAATGACCGGGTTTGGGGGTGACCGCTGTTAATGGACCTCGACTTCGTCTCGGTCCATTAACAGCGGTCACCCCCAAACCCGGTCATTATCACGCAGTGAAGACCGGATCCTCACACTGTTATTCCCTTATTCAAAAGTGACATTCTGATATTTCTTGACACATCTGAACAGTTGGTAATTGACACCTTCATCATTTCATGACCTTGAATATCACTGCAGGTTTAAGTTAAGTCCGAAAATTTGGGACTCTCACTCAATACTGCGTATGACTATGAGAGTCCCAAAACTTAAGGTATCCATATCCTGCAAAAGTTTGTGCTGCATAATAAAACCAGTGTGAATCTAATTTGCAAGCTTCTTACTCACTACAGTTTCCTCAATGTTCCCCGAAACTTCTGCCTTGCAAAGTTGCTGTTGTGAGCATTGCATCACCAAAAATTCAGCTTTTAATACTAATTTTGCAGAGAGTTATCGAAATCCAAGGTGAGACATCACGTTGATGTTTACGGCAATGCATTGTGCAAAAAGAGACCCTAAAAAAACGGCCTATCTCTGTATTATCCCAACCCAGATTCCATTTACATACCTCATATACCATACAGCAGTCATTCACGAAGCTAATGATTGACTTCAAACTGAAAAAAACAAACTAATATGTCAAAAAAATGTTGATGATTTTGGTGGCTTATCCATAAAAAACGTCCAGTACCACGGCTGTCGTCCATGTTGTGTGGTTAATTATGCAAATGCAATGCATCACGTTATGACAATCGAAAAATCTGTGTGTGCTTTGTATGTTAGTACCATACCACTTTCGGGTGCTGCTAGTGGGTTCAATTTTTGTTTGGTGCGTTGTAGTGGAAAGCAAGACAACCAACTGTTTCATGCGTTATGCATTTGACTGTGAGTGCCTTCTGCGTGAGCCTGGATGCCTGGCTCATTAATCTCATGTGAAAGTGAAACCAATCGAGCTACCGCCGAAGCATTATAGTTGATTGGGCAGTTGTAAATACATGTATGATATACATTCGCATTGTGTTTTTACAATGCTGTATCGATAGTATTGGAAAATGCATTATGTCTGTCATAACGATAGCCACTACGTTTTTTGCACTTGTACATGTACTTGGTGATGGGCCAGGGGACAGTGGGGTGTTTTTGTTGTTGTTGAAATGTTGGTGAAGCAAAATAATATCTTATGACTAACTTGATTTACAAAGTTTGGAATGATTGCTATTTGATCTCTCGTGCTTTACTTTCAGTAAATCTGGCAAGAGTGACCATTGAGGAGTCCAACCACAGAGTACTGAGGATCTGCAGTTCATTTCAACAAGGCAGGGTGAATGTTCAGCCCTGCCAGATTTGCTTCCGAGTCTGCTCGCAGAACTCGACAATTGTCTTTCCCAGAGCAGTTGTCGAGGTTGATTTTAACGATGGCGGAGTCTAGTCGGGAGCGTCCCAGAACTGGAGAGAAGACTAAAGAGACCTATCCAAACTGCTTTCCACCTCCCCTGAGGAGCTCTGCTAGTTTCCCAGGAGTGCAACAAAATGGAGCCCCCGTGTCTTGGGGGTCAGAAAGCTTCCTGTCTGGAAGGCCATCAACTGGCTTTCCTGCTCCTCCAGCTTTCTTTGCCCGCTCATATCATGCCAGCTTCCCCTCCCTACCATCAGGTGCATTTTCATCATCCGCGAATGGTTACCAGAGTGTCAGGAATGGGGCGCCAGGGGAACAGTCAAAGTCCAAGAGGACTATGAACAGTGGCTCAGTTGATTCCAAGAAGCTTTGTTCAGACAGTAGGGCATCCCATTCCTCAGAAAACCGACACGGGTTGTCATCAGTGAACCGACAAGGGACAAAAGAAGAAGGAACTAAAATCACAAGTGGAGATGGTCGTGCTTCAGGTAATCTTAAAATGTTCGCATCAAACATGTTGAATCGGATTTTACATTCTGGAAAAAATCCAGTGTTGTAATCTCTTGATTGAGCACAGTCTTGTGAACATAGTATGTACGTAGGATCATTTGCTTTTTGTACATTTTTTTAGGGGTGAGCATTTACGGGCAGTACAGGAATCAGGTACCCGATTAAAAAACACGGGTACCCGGATACCCGTTAAAGAAACCCCAAAACAAAATTTTAATCTTGAAAATTGCTGTACAGATTGTTCATAAAGGTCGGCACAATACTACTACCACATTGGTCTCTCAATACAGCAAGATACAAACTTGTGTACTGTGAGCTTAATACACATGTACATGTACATGTAGCTTTACTGTGTAAATTGCATTTTTGCAAGCATCATAAACGTGAATCTGTTTTGGTTTTCCGTGTAGCCTGGCTTTCATATTGAAAATTCTCCACAACTGACATTCAAAACCTTTCTTTTTCATTGTCTGAGAAGTTACTAAGTATACATGTATGACGGTTACTGTTAGTAATTCCATAATCTGGAACCGGTTCCTGACATCAGCGGCAGGGTACTTGAGTGCCCGGTTCTGATGCACAGCCCTCGTATTTTTCATTTAAGCAACAGAATTGTTCAAAATCTTAAGTGAAGTTAATAACAACTAAACTGTCAGTGGCTATTATATATATTGAGAAAACAGACAAACTGTTTTGGGGTATGATTAAACTGGATTCTGCTACTGAAGCATGCATGCAGTACATGTAAGTGTGCCTGAGGGCACACTTTTTAACACCACCTTCAGTGATTATTTTCTTACGATCGAAACCATTTCAGGGGGAATAATGTCAAAGGGTATTTTGTATCATCCCTATCTTCACTTTGAGCAAAGGTTTTTTTTTCTAATGGGTAGGTCCGTTTCCAGTTACCAGTTTCCTTACCTGTACTGGTACCTGCCTCTAACAAATAGTATTTTGTAATCTTCCATCTCTGGTTGCAGCTGAACCACACAGGTCAGACATGTTAAAGTTCAAGCGAAGGTGGACGTCCGTCCCAGCTAGGGAGAGCCACAGTCCTGGATCAGGCACAGAGGTGTCGGTCATGAGCTACAATGTCTTGGCTCAGTGTCTGATTGAGACCAATGACTATCTGTATCAGAGTTGCCCCGCGGAGGTCCTGAGGTGGGACTATCGCAAGGAGAAGTTGCTGAAGGAGCTGCGAGTTGCAGATGCAGATGTATGCCATCTCTTTTTGCCTATGACGATACTTTCAGATACCGTTCTTAATCACGATACTTTCAGATACTGTACTTCATCACAATACCAAATTATTTATCACTGTTGAGATACATTTCTATGAATAAACGTAATCACAAAGTAGACTTTTCAGGCACTTGAACAATTTGTGGACAACACATCTTGTAGATGTGGAAATATTTTAACATGTACTGCAAAAAAGTGACAGTTGACTACAAATAAGCAGCTGTAGCAGTTTCACAGAATCGAAAATATTGGAAAAATAAAAACATGAAGTGCATACACATCAAGTAGACAATTTACGCAATGCAACATATCAGAGAGATTCAATTACTGCAATGTTAAACCTAAGTTCATGATACATATCTTGATTCTTACATGTACATGCATATTGTGTCGTGACCTTATGGTGCATACACATGTACCTGATATACATGATATAGTAGTATTTTTTTACTTCCCTTGTGTCATTATGTCACCTTCGTTTTTGGCTGGCCTATGGTTGCAGACCATGAATTTAATAAGTTGCCACCGATGCAACCGATAGTGTAAAAACAAAGAGAGAAAAAACAACTTTAGATTCAAGAAGATTCACACACAATAAGTTGAAACGTTGATTTGTGTCTTTTCCTTTTTGATTTTTATGCCCCGCGGCGAAGCCGAAGGGGCATACTGTTTCCGCCTTGTCCTTCCGTGGGTGGGTGGGTGGGTGGGTGGGTGTGTGGGTGTGTGAGCTTGTCTTACATACGCAGTGTGGACTTCCGAACAAAAGACGTCCACATAATGTAGGTAGCAGCGACGAAGTGTGGACTTGCCCACGTCCACACAGTGTTTCCCCATTTCTGGAAAACAGGTTTAGAGGCATTTTGGGTTAGGTTTATCTGTAGCAGAATGAAGAGAAACACTAAAGGGAATCAGAGAAAAAAAATTGGGTTGATAGAGTTTTCACAGTTTGAGAAAAATGAGTTTTTCCACTGGTGTTCCTTAACTACACGAAAAGAAAGGAAAGTCCACACTACGTATGTGAAACAAGTCTGGGTGGGTGAGTTTGTCTTACATACGCAGTGTGGACTTCCGAACAAAAGACGTCCACATAATGTAGGTAGCACCGACGTTGTGTGGACTTACCCCACGTCCACACAGTGTTTCCCCATTTCTGGAAAACAGGTTTAGAGGCATTTTTGGGTTAGGTTTATCGGTAGCAGAATGAAGAGAAACACTAAAGGGAATCATAGAAAAAAATTGGGTTGAAAGAGTTTTCACAGTTTGAGAAAAATGAGTTTTTTCACTGGTTTTTCTTAACTACACGAAAGCAATGGAAAGTCCACACTAGTCATGTGAAACAAGTATGGGTGTGTGGGTGGGTGTGTGGGTGTGTGTGTCCGGACAAATCTTGTCAGCACGATAACTTGAGAAATACTTAACATATGAACTTCAAATTTGGTCTGTGTATTGTTCTTGGTAATCCTAAGAGGCCTATTGCATTTGGGGCCGAAAGGTCAAGGGTCAAGGTCACAGTGGCTGAAACAATAGAAATTTTGTCAGCGCGATAACTTGAGAAATACTTTACATATGAACTTCAAATTTGGTTTGTGGATTGTCCTTGGCAATCCTGAGAAGCCTTTTGCATTTGGGGCCGAAAGGTCAAGGGTCAAGGTCACAGTGGCTGAAACAATAGAAATTTTGTCAGCGCGATAACTTGAGAAATACTTTACATATGAACTTCAAATTTGGTTTGTGGATTGTCCTTGGCAATCCTGAGAAGCCTTTTGCATTTGGGGGCGAAAGGTCAAGGGTCAAGGTCACAGTGGCTAAAACAAAAGAAATTTTGTCAGCGTGATAACTTGAGATATACTTTACATATGAACTTCAAATTTGGTTTGTGGATTATTGTCCTTGGCAATCCTAAGAAGCCTATTGCATTTGGGGCCGAAAGGTCAAGGGTCAAGGTCACAGTGGCTAAAACAAAAGAAATTTTGTCAGCGCGATAACTTGAGAAATACTTTACATATGAATTTCAAATTTGGTTTGTGTATTGTTCTTGGTAATCCTAAGAAGCCTATTGCATTTGGGGCCGAAAGGTCAAGGGTCAAGGTCACAGTGGCTGAAACAAAAGAAATTTTGTCAGCGCGATAACTTGAGAAATACTTTACATATGAACTTCAAATTTGGTTTGTGGATTGTCCTTGGTAATCCTAAGAAGCCTTTTGCATTTGGGGCCAAAAGGTCAAGGGTCAAGGTCACAGTGGCTAAAACAATAGAAATCTTGTATTTATTCTGAGATCATAGGGATCAGGGATTAATTCATATAAAACCTACAGAAGACACTAATGCTGTCAATTAATGAACGTTCCATGAGACCAAGGTACATGTAAGTTGATGTTAAAAGAGTGGTGTTGTGTCATGGGAACAGTCACGGTTGCGGGGCATTTGTGTTTGTAAACACACCTGACTTGTTTATAATATTTTTGGTTGATCACCCCTAAAAAAGTCCTGAAGCCAATCGCCATTTTTATGAGTGATCCCTCCACTCCTTTACACAGTTAAAAAATATATTGCAAAGTCTATCTGTTGTGAACTCACTGTTGTGAACTGTTCCTCTTCAATATCCAGATAATGTGTCTGCAAGAAGTACAATTCACCCATTTCTGTGAGTTCTTCTCACCGGAGTTAGAAAAACTTGGTAAGCCCCTGTATTGTGATCAGTCTATGTGTGCAAAATGTTCTAAATGGGATTGTGAATTTAAAAGCCCTAGAATTTGTCCGATTCTAGGAATGAACAACGCATTTGTGTGACGTATTTGCAGCAGTGACTCTGCTCCATGAGCAGTGTCTGTGGTGGCTGACCCGGGTGAGCCCCGAGAATAGAGTCGGAGCTAATCGAACAGCACGGGGCTAACCCAAGTCGACCCTCAAACACATTACTGACGGTGCCCGACGCTCACGCGAAGACGCTACAGGTTTGAATATAATTCAAAATATGCACATTCAGAATATAATTTGTTGTGCATACTGCTGCGTCATGTGCACACAATGAAGTATGTGCTGAGTCCATAGAGTGAACAACCAATTATTTCCGAGAAGCTAATTTTCAACTACGCTGTTAATGTTGACTTCCTATATATAGTATCAGTCATCCATCTTTCATTGTTAACAACCCTAACCCTGCTTAATCCAACAGGATCCAACTATTTTACATACCCACTGGGTCCTGTTGGATTGAGCAGTAAACCCCTTGCATCTATTCCTGTTGAAATCTGTAGGATTTAGCAGGCAACTGAAAACATATACAGTCGGATTCTGTTGGGTACTGGTAATTAAACATTGCTATGACGTCACACTATTGTTAAAAGTGTGGATTCGGATCTACGAATCTCTTACACTGGTCACAAAGTGTGGATTCGGAATGACGAATCTTTAGTAAAGTGTGGATTCGGAATGACGAAAAGGCCTCTCCAAAAAAGGCCTCTCCACTCTAAATCCTTGGTGGTGCGTTGTATTGTAAATCTTTCTCAGTTAGTTTTTTTTTTAAATGATCAAGAAAAATAGGGGACTGGGTGGAACAAGGGATAATGCTGGGCAAGATAAAAGGATCCAGAAAGAGAGAACAGCTCATTTTGTCTTGAAACACTGCATCCTAATGTCTGACTCTCTTGAATCTTGATTTTTTTTTTTAGTTCCTGCCAGTTTGCCTATTTATCTATTATGAATGTTCCCTCTCTTGCCGTCTCTTATTGACTCTGGGCACAAGTACCTTCTAAACGATTACAAGGGAGAGTTTGGGAAGACCACAGGGAGAGACATTCAAATGCACTGCTGACGGCACCTGACGCTCAAAGAGAAGATGTCATGGGTTTGTGCACATTCAGAATAAAATAATGTGCGTACATCGAGCTATACAGGCATGAACCAGTACACGCATGCGTTACTTCCTTCCCACTTGGGCTTTAGAAAGTGGTCGCAAATCTCTTTTTTGCCTTTTAGGTATTGTTCTTTGTTTTGAACTGCTAAGTTGGAATTAATGTTAAAATAACACGTACCTCCTGCAGGGTATGCAGCTGTGTATCAGAAACGGACTGGTGACAAGCATGACGGCTGTGCACTCTTCTACAAGAAAGACAAGTTTGCACTGGAGAAGTTCAAGAAAGTCCGGTTCTTCCGTTCCAACATCCAGCTGCTGGATCGAGACAACGTGGGCATCATTGCACTCTTGCGTGCCAAGGGCTTGCCCGAGGACGAGGCTCCCAGGCTTTGTGTGGCCACCACGCATCTGCTGTACAACCCAAAGCGAGGGGACATCAAACTGGCCCAGCTTGGGGTCTTGCTGGCTGAAGTTGACCGCATGGCTGCTGCCGTTTCGCCCTTATCCAAGCGTTCCCAACAGCAACAGAACCCCCTCTACCACCCGATCATACTGTGTGGTGACTTCAACAGTCTGCCCCACTCACCCCTTTACAACTTCATCAGAAACCGGAAGCTAGACTATGTTGGCCTGCAGAAGGTCCTAGTTTCAGGTCAGGGTTCCAGTCGCAGGTCGTTTGACCCTCTGAACTGGCCCCTCTGGCCCTATGATGTCGGAGTGACAGACGCCTGCCAGTTCCGGAGTGTTGTGAGAGAGCGATTGAAGAACATGGAGAAAAGTGATCCACAAGAACAAGAGCACTGTTCAGGTGAATTAAATATTTTGTTTTTGTTTTTTCTTGGTTCCAGCCCAGATTTGTTGTTCCCAGTCAGAACTATCTATTCCCAGATACATTGTACATGTATAATACTCGGATCCTGAAGGATCTCCTTTTTTCATCAAAGGGTTAGCTTTGGCATTCCTTGGAGTCTGGGGCTGTTCACCCTTGTGGTAATATCAATGTAGTAAACATGGAACATTCTCTTAACATTTTGAGGGTGTAGTAGAGCAAGGGTTAATTAATTGTTGGCCACATCCACTTTGATCATGATCAAGTGTAACTTTGAGCCTTTCCAAATCTTCCAAAATCCTGCACTGTGTAGTAAACAGATAACATTGCTTGTACTCTAGTTTGGGATTTCAAAGAGTTGGGGTGAAATTGCAGCCAGGCTTTTCATCAAAACCATCTGGAACTTTTCTCCTTTCAGATCTGCCAGACATAGCGGACCTGCCCCAGGACTGGGAAAAGCACTTCTCAGACAGTATCCATCATCCTTTCCCTCTGGAGTCTGTCCACTACCATGACGGTGACGTTCGGGAGGTCACCACCAACCATAGCAGGACCAACTGCACTGTGGACTACATCTTCTTTTCCAGTTCCGCGACCAAAATCAAAGGGCCTCTTGGAGGGCTGTTCCCGAGGAGGTACGTTGGGGAGCTGAGGCTTCTGGAGTATCTCAGTCTCTTGACGGATGAAGAGGCCAGCGACATGGGAGGCTTGCCCAACTATGACCTGTCTTCTGATCACTTCTCATTGCAAGCCAAGTTTCTGCTGACCGCCCCTGAGTAGATACAACTCTTTCCATGTAATCTGAATCCCCTCTAACAGTGCACTTCATAACGGATTTGTAGATGGTGCTATTAAAAAAAAAACAATTCTTGATAAGAAAAGAGATTGTTCAGCTTTTTTGTCTGCATACTCGTACTTGTACTTGTTAAAATGCGCTAGTACTCGTACTCATACTTACAAGTAAATAATTAAGCATTTCTCGTATATGTGCTCCCACTGGTGACAAAGTATTGGTACTCTAGTTATATTCATGAAAATTTTCTCCTGCTGGAAAGTTTATTGTTTGAGAGGTATATGCAGAAAAAGAACCCATTTTCTGCAATTGAAAATTTGCTTTTGTGAACCCATCCTAATGTGCTGTACTCATAGAAAGAACTCATACTCGTTCTTTTACTCAAAGAAATGTACTCCTGGTAATGTTAATCATACTCGTCTTACTCATCGTACTCATGGCAAAAGATTGCCTTGTACTCATACTCATATTCATGGCAAGGTACTTGTACTGGTTCTCATGGCAAAGTACTTGTACTCGTACTCGCACCCATGGAAACGTGCTCAACTACAACACTGATGTAATAATACAAATGGTGTTGGTTGATTTGGGTTACTTTGCGTCAAGAGAAGTCAAATCAACCAACACCTCAGCAACAGGACTTTAATGCTTCTTTTCCTGAACTTCTAGTAGTTTTTGCTGTAGAGCCTATTTTGTGAAGCACATGTCTTTCGTGTAGGTATTATTACATAACAATTAATCCCTGTATCCAATTAAGTCATGTGGTTTAGTAATTCATCGGAACAAAAACTACTAGTCCAAATCGAGCGATTTCATTTTTCTTTTTACTGAATTCCCCATGCATACGTATAGGTGGTTTGAGTCTCAGGCTATCGGAATTACGCGTATATATATGCCGTTCCAGTTTTTTTTTTGCCACCCTGTGTATTAAAGAGTAACGCTTTATAGTAACGTGTATTAAAGAGTAACCACACATTACTGTCAAACGTGAATAGTTACGAGCCTCATTTTGATAACATACTTGCTAAAATTATGGCCGGCAGAAATAAACTTTTTATTGTTAAAACCTATTGAGTGGCCCCCTCCAGAAAATGAGGCCCCCCTAAATACCCCACCTGTTAATTGGAGTCCAGTTCAGTCGCTTGCAAGATCATTGAGGCTAAGCATCTGCAGCCGCAACTTGCATGAAGTGTCTGTACATGTACGTTACCTTATTAAATTTCTTTCTGATTTGCTGAAGTTGGACTTTTATTGTAAAAGTATTTGTTTTGAACACGTTTTAACCTTGCCTTACACAAATGAATAATAGGTGAATAAGCTCAAAAACTCTGCGCGAAGCAATAACTGTAACAGAAGTCTGAAGCACCTGCCTTGTACAATAGCTGATCATTGAAATGAAGTTCTCCAATTAAAAAACTTGCTACTGCCAATAATATGCCAAATATAAAGCAGTATTATTGCAAAACTTGTTTACTTCCTAGTTTATAAATGTTGATCTCCATTGTTGAGGAAACAAGTGGCAAGTTTGCCATAAAGAAAATGCAGTGACATCTTCAGTTTATTATTTCGGTTATTTTTTAAGTTTTGCAAATTTTGTTGTTAGTTGTGACAAGAAAAATTATTAACTGTTAATAGAAATATTATTAGATTAATCTTTTAATAAAAAAAAGTTACCGTGTCTTTATTTATTATTTCATAAAGTAAAACATGTGCAGGTTTCAAAATAGTACTATAAATTACTTCGGACAAACGCACAGTGTTATTTTTAAACATAAAATAAAAGAAATGGTTGTCTTCTTGGTTAAAAGTATTTCCAACTATAGTGTGGTTCTGATTTTATTAGTCTTAGGCAAATGAAAATGCCTGTAGACATATCAGTGGTCAATCGGATTTGAGCTCAGTGGGCAAATTTAAGAAACACTCAATGTATACATTTGTACCAAACTGTTTGCAGATGACCTGATCTTGTATAGATCCATTGAATCGCGCATGGCTGCTTCAAGTGACTGTAGCGATCAGATGTCTATAGGCTTGGCAATCTCAGGCTTAGGAGAAGAGGTCATCCAGTGGGTGCGTCACTGCCACTTGAGATGCCCAGGTGATGCGTGGGCGTCCTGGGGGGTGAGGCCAGCCCTCTGGGGCTGGGCGGGAGGCTGCAGTCAGCACACGCTTTGCCGGGACATCGTCGCCAGATCGCTTTACATGTCCCAGTAGTCGAAGTCTGCTCCTCAAAATGGTGGTGGACAGGGGTGTGGGGGAACCTGCTCGAGCATAGACCTTGTCGTTGGTAGCGTAGGCAAGACCGGTGGTAGGCATCGACTGGTTGCGGTGGAGAGGGACTATGATTCGCAGCCGTAGAGGAGAATGGGGAGGGCGCAGGTTTTCGGAATGCGGATTTTAGTGGTTGTGCAGGACTTGCTGCTTTGCCATACCCAGGGGAGACGACCGAAGGTTCTTTGGGCCAGTTGAAGGCGACGGACCGTCTCTGGCTCCGATGAGTATGCGCTGGAGATCTTGGAGCCAAGATAGACGAATTCATCCATCACTTCGACCCGCTCCGTGTTGATGTTGATCTCCTGGTGGGGTGGCTGTAGAAAGGTGGATAAGGACTGAACTTTTGTCTTGGTCCAGCTGATGGTGAGGCCCAGGGGCGAGGCTTCCTCATCGAGAATCTCCAAAGCCTCAGCCAAGATGTCCAGCAACATAGCAAACAGCACAACATCATCCGTGTAGCAGATGTCGGTGAGTTGGAAGTTGTAGTCCATGCCAAGGTGAGGGCAGCGTTCCATCAAGCTGTCCAACCAGTAGTCGACTGCAACATTGAAGAGGTTTGGTGATGCAATGCAGCCCTGTTGGACTCCTGATGTAGTTGGGAAGGGATCCGATATACTGCCCTCAGCTTGTACCCTGCAGGTAGTGTTGGTGTAGAGGTCCCGCAGGATACGGATGTACTTAGGAGGGACTCTGATACCCTGTAGAAGGAGCTAGACGATGTTTCTATCCAGGGAATCAAGGCTGCCTTGAGATCGACATACGCTGTGTGCGGCGGCGGACGATATGACCTCCGTTGTTGTGCCTGGACTTTCAGCGCAAGGATGCAGTCTGTGGTGGAGCGATTTGGTGTGAAGCCGGCTCGTTGAGGGCAACGTTTGGCTAGCAGCAGGGGGTTAATTTGTCTGAGGACGATGGCCATGACAACCTTAGAGGGGATGGAGAGCAATGCGATGGGGCGATAGCTCGAGGTATTTTGCTGGTCACCCTTGTTCTTGTAAAATGAGAGGATGACACCCTCCTTCCACTCGGCGGGGACTCACTCTTCTTTCCAGATGCGGCGGCACAGCTGTTGTAGCTGGGGAGTGATGGGATCAACTGCCGCCTTAAGCATTTCACTAGTCGTGCCGTCGGCGCCTGGGGTTTTGCCAGTTGGGAGCTTCCTAATGGCGTCCACGATCTCATTGAAAGAGAGTGGTTCGAGCGAGATGGAATCATCTGTGGTGCCCGAGTTGGAAAACACCTGCAGCCTGTTAGATGGAGGAAGTGGAGGCTTGCAGAGGACAAGATGGAGGAGGTGGAGGCTTGCAGAGGACACTGGAGTAGTGGTGACACCATCGATGTAGCTTGGCTGAGGCTTCACAGTGCTGTCATCAGCAAGCGGGGGGGGGGGGGACAATTGGCATTGGCTGCCGGCCTGGCAGAGCTCCTTGATGGAAGTTTATAACCTGGTCGAAAATTCCCTGAAAGCTGTCCTCAGCTGCATCGGCGATCCGATGTAGCCAGGAGGTGTAGTCATGTCTTAAGCTTTGCCTGCTCAGCTCGCGGTAGACTTGGGGGGGGGGCAGGGGGCACCTTTTGTCGGCAATTAGTTCAATAAATGGTAAAAGTGTTCTGTCGTCAATCCCAAAAAAGAAAACCCGCTCCAAAACCATCACAATGCGCTGTGAAAATGGGCATATAATTTGCAGTATGCATAATAATGGTCAGTTTTGAAGAGCACCCCCATTTGGATACCAGTCCCCCCCCCCCTTCCCCCGGGGTTTTGATTCTACGGAGGCCAAGTGGCTTGAAAAACAAAACAAGTCTACATTTCGGTGCGGATGTGTGGTTGCCCCCGACATCAGCTGGATACGCTACTGGTAGCCGTCCATGGGTCTATGAAGCCAGGATTGCTGGCAGCGGTCTACAATTCAGGTCCAGGGAAGCATCTGAGATCCAAGGCTTCCTCCTTGGACGGCGTACTACAAACACCTCTGAAGCCACTGGAGTTAGGGTTGAGTGAACCTGATCCCAGTCGTCCTTGAGACTCTGGGGGCCTATCTAGCGCAGCAAAGCGATTAGTGACCTCTGCTGAGTAGCCTGGGCGTAGAGTGGGTTGTGGAGCTTCACAACATCAAGAGGGCGTGGAGAGGTGGGGCATGGAGGAGTGTTCCTGTGGAGGTGCAGATGGAGGGTGGCAGCAAGGAGACGATGATCAGTGTTACCCAGCTCAGCGCTACGAAAAACCCGGCAATCGGAGGCGACCCTCCGGTGTCCGCTGACCAGGATGTGATCGATGGTCTTCGACACAGAGCCGGTGTTACTGTACCAGGTGGTGCGATGGATCTGCCGATGCAGGAACCAGGTGCCCAGGATCATTAGGTTGTGCGTGGCACATACATCTTGCATACGAACGCCATTGTTATTTGTGGCGGTGGAGGCAAAGGGTTGTGGTCCGATGATGTGTTCAAGACCAAAGCGATCTGGGCCAATGGTACTCCATTCGTGTCCCCGAGTACGATGGTGATGTCATGCCGGGAGATGTTTCTGAGCTCACTATTCCGTTTGTGATAGAAGGTGTCCTTTGTTTCGTCTTCGGTGACATAACCATGTGAGTGCTTTAGATGGACATAGAGCATTCATGGGCCGAGAGGTTTCCTCGTCATAATGGACACCACGTGGCAGCGATGGATGACCATAGCTATACTCCTTGAATATGCAGGTGGTTGTGGCCGCGATCCATAGCATTCGATAACTGCCGATGTCTGTTTCGCCCCAACCGGTCCATGTAACTTCCTGGAGTCCAGCGATGGAGATCTCCGGACGGGAAAGTTTGGCAGAGAGGAGCGAGGAGTGGCCAGGTGGGTTCAGGTTGAGAATGTTCCAGGTGGCGGGTCGAATGACACGTTATAGGTTGATGAGTGACGGCAGCGCAGATGGGCCATCCGGGGGTCCCCCTCATTGCGGGTTTGGGGGAAGCCCATCATTACAGCCACCTGTGTGCCGTCGGGTATAGAGTAAGGTCGTTGCCCGGCCATGGGAGCCAAGACTTATTACATCTGCTCTTCGTAGCAGTTTAGAAGATTGTAACATACTCCAGAGGGACATCAGTTCTCTTTATAAGTGGGAGGAAACCTGGCAGATGAAATGTAATACATCAAAAAGTTTCATCATGCATCATAAAGGTCCTTCTCAACATCAACACTATGTGGGAAGTTCTATTCTAGAGAAAGTCGATCATCTTCCCTTCCTGGGAGTTGAACTGTGTCGCAATTTACCCTGGAGTAAATACATCACCCAAACTGTCAACAAAGCAAACAGCATGCAACTCTTGAAGTGGAACCAGGCGCGGTTCTAGAGCATATGGGGTTAGCAGGGGTGGATCCAGAATTTTTTGCAGGGAGGCGAGCTGAAATGTAGACCGGTTTTTTTTCTCCGGACTCGTCCCTCCGAAATTCAATGAGCGCTGATAAAATCCTACAATTATGCACTCTATATGGTGTACAAAATGCCCCCTTCTCACGACTAACATTTGCTACTGCCATTTTTTTGGATTTTTTTTTGGGGTGTGTGCTAGACAAACGTTTAGACCCCCCCCCCCCCCCCCCCCGTAGAACCGCGCCTGAGCGGATTCTCTGGAATATTGCTCATCTAACGCCAAGAACATCGCCTATAAAACACTTATCAGTATTGCAGCCCAATCTGGGACCGTCACCAGAACCTCCATGTGTAAAATTTGAAAAAAAAGTTCAAAGGAGACCACAGCAAGATTCTTTAAGAATAACTGTCGGCGTGCAAGCAGCGTCACCGACATGGTCCACAGAATCTCTTCAAATCAGATGGGAAAAGGCTTGGCTCGTAATGATTTGAATGGAGACTCATGGCCACATTTAAGTGCCTGATCAACGGCCAATTGAAAATTTAGTACTCAAGCGATGCATGATGGACAACTGTACATTGATAGTCACCTGAGCTAGGCGTTTTGTGCAGCTATAGCACCAGACAAGACAAGACATACCGGTCTTCACGATCTAGACTAAATCGCCGTCACACATTTCTTTCGATATCGAGTAGCGGTCATGTATTTATTTCTGACCGCATTTAATCAAGTGCAAAGAGTGCTCTTATTGTGTTTATAAGTGCCTTATTTTCAAAACAAGCGCCCTTTTGATAAAAAAAAGTCGTGCCCTTTTTGTGCCAGCGGCCTCTGCTAGTGTCTTTTTATTTAATTTCGCGCACGTACCGCCCTGAAAAGCGCTATTATTGTCCGTTAGTATAGTGTGCATGCTCGTCGGTTTTGAACAGCACCTACATCGACAGATGCTACCAGACCCCCCCCCCCCCCCACCCCTATTAGATTTTAGAGAGGCCAAGTGTCCGGAGAGAAAAAACGTGTCTACATTTCAGCACGGATGTGCAAGTGCCGTTTTGAAGAATTTTTACCCCTCCCGGATCCCCTAATTAAAATGACCTTGCTAGTAAATTTTCCTGGGGATCCGGATGGGGGTTAACATTCTTGAAAATATTTTTTGAATTGTCCAATAAAATGGTAAATGTGATCGTCGATTAATGCCATTTTGAAGGGAGGAAAAATTAGGAACAGTTTATTCCGGAATGGCATCTTATTTATTTGAAGTATTGTTTTCTTCATAATGAAACGAGGGTTCCTCCAAAGTACACCGCCTCTGTAGCTTCGAAAACTATAGAGAAAAACAACGAAGGGACGATCAGTTTTATGGAAAGGTAGCGGGGACACAACCAAGGAAAGAAACTGGCAGAAACTGTGCCCGGCTCATGTGAGCCAGGCAATTGTCATTTTAAATTCGCGTTTCACTTATGTATTCATTACTGCATTTTGTTTCTATAGAAAACCAACTGTCTGAAATTTCAAATCGCAGCTTGAAAATGCAAAAGCCAAAGGAGCACAATGTGCATTGAACGTGATCTAGTTTATCACATGTTTGCCTGTGGCAAAGAGGCATAGAATCGTATAGTTAATAAGACACATCTCTCTGAGGGACAATATAAATTAGAAACCATGAACCATAAAGCAATTTGTTTCTCTCCAGAACAGCTCAATGTTTATTAAACAATGAAAATAATGGTGACACAATTTCGAAATCATAGATCTACATCCACGTATGTGCAAATGCATACTGGCTTATATCTTTAACTCTAGTTATCATTTTCCATAATGGGATTTGCAATCCAACGTTACTGTAAATTGAAAAGTATCGACCCGCTCTTATGCCCTTATAGATTACGACCAACAAACAATGTCTGAATGTATTTTAAAATAAATGTATCTAAAAGGAAACCTCGTACCAAAATGAGCTAGCATAAATACGAACCACAATCAACCACCAGGCCCAAAGGCGTGGATCTGCTTAGAAGAAAATACCTGCTGAGCAAAAATGAAATGACCCCTGAATAGAATCGGTCAATGAAGATAATGTATACCTTCCATCAAGCTCTCCGACAGTTTAATAGTCAAGCTATCATAAAAGTGGCGTTGAGCAAATTCTGAGTCGGAAAAATCCATTTTAATCAACTGCCGTGATAGATGAATTTGGGAGAGCAAACCGCAGCGTTCAGTACCGATATAAGGTTTGGACATTTTTGTTATATTGACATAAATACGCAGAACGCAAACTCAAGCCTGTAAACAGGATTACATGGGAATTTTTCCACATACAAAACTTACTTTTACCTTTTATGTAAAGCCCCATAAATCTTCACTTAGGCATGCGCAATACTACGAATGGGTCCGTATTTCACAGAGTCCTATTCACACTTCACCCACACCGCTGCGTTCTGCGCCTCACGTGCGCCAATCTCCATATAAGGATATTTAAGTACTACTCGCGCGAGGCACATACCATAACACAGCAAGAGGGGTGTTATAATTTTTGAGTTGTTTTGACTTTTCGACCAGAAGGTATTTATGAATGGGAATAAATATGTGCTTGGCCGGTATTAAACAAGTATACGTTTAAAACCGGCCCGAGCCGAACAACCCAGGCCCCTAGCCGGTTTAAATGAACTTGTCTTAAACCGGCCAAGCACATATTATTAATTCCTTTTGTATAATTAATAAACGCCAAATAGATTAAGAGTATGGCCGAGTGTCCTCTTTGTAACACAACAGAGGCCGTTTTGATGGTACAACTTTAAAGCACAGAAAATTACCTCAGCTGAGTCATTTTCAGCACACGAATTCGGCTACTAGGCAATGTATTATCTGTAGCAGTGAGTGGCAATAAAACATATCTCAAAATGCAATTGGATAAAACACACTTCTGCTAACCCGTTAGTTTCTTTTTGTTTAATGATTCAGTTAAACATTTCCATTTGTTAATGCAATGTTGAAGAAAATATGATACTTCATGTTGCGACGAGAATTCCTTCGCCTTTCCCGTTAAGAAATGCTTATTTTTAACCCCTGTCCTGCGCTCTACTGAAGCCGGACCTATAGGGTCACAAGGGGATGTTTGATTGTTTGTTATACTGCGGCTACTTTTTTTGACAGCAATTTTGTAGTTGATACATGTATTTACTTCAGGCATACAACTATGTATATTTGGTTATTATTTTGTTCTAATGCTGTACGACTCTGTGACCTGATCAGAATTAGAAACAAGGGCTTTGTATTACATGTAATTGAAACGATTCCTCTCGGAAAAATGAGCACCCAAGGTGTCTCCCCAGTATACATAGGCCTATGGAGAGGCTACATCTTCCCAATTTTAATGATCGTTAATGTAAACGTTAATGCATCAATTCTCGTGTTAGTCATTATCCCCGACCCTCTGACTAATACCATTGGAAAGGCTACATCACTGACGTTACCGCTATAGCCACCTTTAACCTAATACTTGTTTTCTCCCTGACGGTTCAAGCCAGTTCCACCCGATTGTTCGAGCTATCTATAAAAGAGGCAGATTCCCTGCCGGCCTTTTATGGCCATTTGATGCGGCGAGGGGAGGCACACGGCCGGCTTGTTCTTAATCCCTCATCCCAAACCCCTTTCAGTTTTTTTCCCACCAGGAATTATGCAAAAGTGGCGTGCGAAGAAATTGGAAGTAACTCAATTAGCCTCCTGCCAAAATTTGATAAGGCGAAGATAACATTATTATGTCATCTATCAGGCGAATGTTCCCATAGATTATGGTTTTGAATTATGCATGAGGCCTTGCGGAACTGCCTGAAAAGTAACGAATTTTCTCAACGGTTCACCAATATTAGACGATATTTTGTTGTTATTTCCTATAATGTTGGTACTTTTAGACAACAAAATATGAGAAAACCCATTTAACGTACATGCACCGCTTTATTATTGTTAGACAGGTGCATTTGCATTTCACAAAGTTTATTTACAGAGTGGTTAATCCACTACAAGAAATTATTATTGAACATTAATATACCAATAAAACTGGAATATAAGTGCCTATTTCATACATATACTTTTTCGTGTCCATTTTTTATCGAAAGCATAGTTTCGAACAACTTTTGTTAAAGAAAACAAATTTAATACCGATCTTAGTGAATATTTTTAAGTTTGTAGTGATTTTGTATAGAATCCTATACAATTTTCTTATTCGACACGGCACAAGCACGATGTTTGAAACCAATTTGGTTCGGCAAGTTAATTTCAGCTCGGCAAAAGACTTTAGATAATAATAATAATACTAATAATAAAAAATAATAACAGGTTCTTATATAGTGCTTTTAACCAAGATCAAAGCGCTTTACATTGTTATTGTCCCTGATCATTGGGCCAATTTAACATTCCAAATACCATCTCAGATCAGCTCCCTGGGGAGCATACAGCTCGATGCAGCCTGTTAGGCGCAAGGAAGCTTATTCAATCACAATAGCCATCTCTGCCCTCACAGGTACCCATTTACTCCTGGGTGGAGAGAAGTAATGAGTGACAATTTGACAAAGTACCTTGCCCAAGGGCACACGCACCATGTCCCGGGCTGGACTCGAATCCACAACCTGCAGCTTTACCCACAGATCACGAATCCAGTGCCCTCAACCACGAGGCCACAGCACTCCACGGGGTCTGCCGTGCTTATGCGGCAGAAGCACAGCCCGGTTTCAAACGTCGTGCTCCTAGTCTCCTACATGCCGTGTCGAATATAATTTCAATTCGCAGTTGGCCCTGAACACCATTCATAATTAGGAATTAGGAATCCCAACGTGTGTGCGAGGAAAGAAAAAATCAACAAACAAGCGCAGCAACAAATAGTGACTTATGCAATGACGACGATGATGTCTGCGGCGTAGGTGGGGATGCTGGCGACGAGGATGGACGGCATAAGCACGACGTCTGAAACGGGCCTAAGCAATCAACTCAAATCGCAGGGGAAAAAATGTAATTCATCCATTCAGAATGATTTAAACCTGATCCTCGCAAATCCCTCACATTCGGTCAAAGCCTACGGGCTATTTCTTACGTCAAATGCAATAAAATTCAGAATTATTTGCATTCGTTCTCAGCCTTTCAAATTTGCTTAATCACCCGTCATGTTCTTTGGTATGTGATTCCAACGCCGACACAACACACACATAAGACCTAATACATGCAGTTCTACATCTACTATATAAATTTACAAATATACGATTGTTTTCTAGTGTTGTCAGCACAAAGTTATCTATAATACTGATAATTATTGATCACAAATATCGAATGAAGATGTAATATCGATCAATGTGTTGACAAAAATATTACACTTCCTGAAACAAGCTCCACAGAAAATAGTACTATCACTGCTACATTTTCACACCAAAACTCCTTTAAACCATTGCAAAAGGTTTCGTGGCTTATATTGGCACATAATGGCGTCGTCTCTAGAAATTGCTATACTACGGCGTAGGCCTATTTGCTTTCCGTTTGTTATTTTAAAACCTGAGAAGATATTGCAAATCTAAAATAGCGAACATGTAAGTACCGTTTGCTGGCTTATTCTATAGAATGAGCCTAATACCAGCATTTTCAACCCCGAAAAAACTTGAAACTTAAACGACCTATTTAAGAATTAGATAATGCTGTGGATATTTTCGAATGGTGTTTGTATTCAACTTGCTTCATCTTGTTTCAAGTGCATCAACATATTCAATATGTAAATTCCAATAAAATTTCAGTTTTCTTGTCTGGGGAAAACATTTGTAGTACATTTCCGTTTCAGACCTTGCTTTGAATGTTGACGTTTTGATTTCATGTTTCCGTGGCTATTACACCATTGCCTATAGTTTAATTAGTCCTTGTTAAGAGAGGACTGATTTTGGAGGCCACGCCCTTTTTTCAGCATACCTCTTCACACCCCACCCCTTTTTGGACACTATACAAGTGGAGATCCAAGCTAATCCTTAGATGAATGGACATAATAGTTCCAAACAGACAGTATATATAGCTCCCATCGAGTCATTTCTTGTTTGCACGGAGATTTAAACCCGGATACAAGTTTCTTATGGGGCCACAAGTTGTTGTTTTTTCTTCCAACATCCCTTAGTCTGAAATACGTGATTAACGTCACTGGCGTCATTACTGGCCGGTGACGTCCGGTTTTTTTGTTAGACCCAAACGAGTGACCCCGGTAGAACAACTCCATATTTTGAATCAATGATAACGGTCGGTCATAGATTTGTTTGTTTGTTCAGAGCTCAATTTCCTCAAGGGAATCCTCCCTGAGCCGAGGCTTCCCTCTCATCCTCTCCTCAACGTGAGGCACAATCTGGGTCAGTTCCACATCCGAGTCCCGCTCCGTGAAGCCGTTCTGTTGAAGTGTCTCCCGGCCTGCCGGTCTCGTTATCTCCTTGTCTTCAGCCGTTGGGACCACCTCGGGCGGCGTCCCAAGGCCCAAGTCCAGCGGCAACCCCAGGCCGGATTTCATCAGTCCGTCCTCCGGATCCACCCGCACTTTGATCGCCTGCTGATGCAGCCGCTTCCGTTTGCGGTTGTTGGTCATCCGTAGCACGTATATCCGGTAGACCGTCAACAGGAAGATCATCATGTTCTTGAGGGTGAAGAAGAGCATCATCTGGTTGATGATGTGGAAACGGATGATGAGGTACAGCCGCATGGCCAGATAAGGCCCGTCCTGCATGATCAGGGAGATGCAGAGAGCCCAGATCTCCGAAGAGCAGCAGCCGTTGTGCCGGCGATGGTGCTGGACGTCTGGATGCTGCAGCTCAGCCACAGTGGCCCTCACACGCCGTGTGGAAGAGATAGAAGAGGAAGAGTTATCCCTCCCCCTGTGGTTAAAGACGCGGATCTTGGGTCCAGCCACCGAGGTCAAGACCATAGCGAACTGGATCAGGCTCCAGCTCCACAGGGCCAGGATGACCATGATGATGAGTTTGTTGCACACCACGGCACCCTCACGCAAATTCTCGAGGGAGAATTCCAAGATGTCGGCAGCCATGCCAATATAGACCATCAGGAGTTGAGACAACTGCTCCCTGGTCAGGGAGCCCTTCGGCAGGAGCCATCGGCCAAGGATTAGGAGGCAGAGAAGAAACTGCTCGAGTGCCAAAGCCCATTCGTCGTCGGCAAGGCCAACTGGGATAGTCAGCTGAATTGGGAACGAAGAAAAAATAACATGAACAATGCAGCGACTATTTTGTTGTAGTAGTGTAAGACCAAATTTTAACTACAATGTACACAAACTCCCCTATTCTTCCGCGTGTTGGGAGAGTTGGCAAGTGTGTATGGTTACATTTTATCTAATACACGTATCATCCACAACAAAACCGGTTACCAGCAAATTTGAAAACTAGGCTTTTACAGAGCTACGACCGACTGCACTTTTAAATAATGAAGTCAAATGAAAGGACATCTAAACGATTGGCTAGATGTCCAGTCACCTCTCATGTATGTAACCAGCGTATAATTGAATTGAATGACTGTATAGTAAAGTCATGCCCTGCTTTTGCCATGTGCCACCTTAAGCCCGCCCCTTGAGGAGAAAAGACAGAAACATTGTCATTTAATACCCCTTGGATCTGCGTGAATGAGGTGTGGTTGTAGTTGATTTTGATGGCGCACTCCTTCCAATGCATGTGGTCCCTGTAGTCCATACGTTTTTGGTACAAGTCCATTTGAAGCATCCACAAACCGGGTACCACGCTGGCCAAGTAAAGTAGGGCGCTCGGACATAACCTAAAAAGGACACCAAATAAACAAACACTTAGTGTAAGGCCGGTGCAGTTTGAAATTTGCACTCTATGAAATACCGTGCGTGACGGACTCAATGATTTTATGACGCATACCTTAGTGAAATTATGGCATTGACGGTCACGTGTGACGTTTAGAGTCAATATTAGGTAAAAGAGACCAAATAACATAGAAGTCCAAATTTAATATGACACCGTGTCACACGTTCCAAGTGTGTCGAGCAGTACGCTCCCACCACTACCTGCCCTCTAACCCTGATGGCACATCCAAAATGTAAGGCTACTCATGCAAATTAGGCTCCCTGTGGGCGATGTGTTCTGGGCGCACATAATAGTCTGGCGGTACTAGTAACATTCACAATTCGTAATTCACACCACAATGCACAATCTCTTTGGTACTAGATTTAATAGCTTGATTGGAAAACCCATGCATTGCATATACGGACCCAATAGGCATGAGACCTAATGACGTCACGCTTTGTTTACATGTGCGTTTATACGGTCCCTACTTCGCCTGGCGTCCCGACTTTCGCTCCCATAGGAAAGCGCATATAACAAAGCCATTACTTCATTAGGTATCAGGATACGTGATGAAATGATTGAGGTCGTATCTGCATACTTGTAAGTGAGGATCTTATTAATATTGTTAAAGATCATTGACCCACTTTGTTGAATACGGATGGTTTGCAGTGTTAATAACTATCAATACTATGGCACATGTATGCACTGTAGTGTCACTGCATCAGAACACGGGTAAAGAGTTCCCATCCCAGGGCCCACTATTGGAAACGAGGTTGGAAATACGGTATCTCCTGGGGACGAGGTTGGGCTCATAGTGCGTGTATTGATAGCATGTTCCCCACTTGATACTCCACTGAAGTATCCATCTTTTATAAAGACAAGAAGGTACACATTCCCTTAGATAAATTTCATTATGTCTTACATAATTATAGTTTACGCATGTTTAGTTTGATTAACCGGCTAATTTGGTAAACATTAAATATAATTAGTCATTGGGCAATGAAGTCAGATAATATGAAGACTGTTTCGGTTATAAATTATACGGGTGAAGTCATGTTCGTTATGTTGAAAGGCCATATATATAGCCGTGTAGTCTGTGTATTGCGTGTTTAGTATTTTTTTGTGCAAAAGAAATAAACTAACATGAAGATAAATAAAAGAAGAGTAACGGATGTTGCCGTACTTTAATCTTCACTGCATGGCCCTACATCGTTGCACATTCCACTTCTCTAAAGTGTCTTTGTTTGTGTAGCCATGCACGCGAATCCAAGTAAACAAATCGACTAATGTGGCATTTATGCCATCGATCGTTATCGACCAGTGTAGTCCCATGAGCAGACGGGGCGCATACATACCCCAACACAGCCCACCTTTGGACCAATTCAAGAGTGCTTATAAAAGTGCATGACCTTGGAGTTTGCTCGCCCCCCCCAAAAAAAAAATCATGGTTACCCGTCAAGGCTTTTATTGCAAAATGCTCGAGACTTTCGAGGCAACGGGGTTTTTGAAAGAATGTAATGTATCAGCAGTATTGTTTTCGATGTTAAGGGTATACACAGTGTTAACTGATTTTAAATTTAAAACGTTCCACAAAGGTGCACAATACATTACTGTTCAGAAGAGACTCAACATTAACAACGGCTCAATAGGATTGTATCGCATCATTTCAATGAAGAAGACATTTATTAAAGTGGTCGTTAATTTTCCTCTCCTGTGGTTACGGTGACATCCCGATAGTCCGAAGGTTGGAAGTCCGAAGGTTCGATAGTCCAAAGGTTCGATAGTCCGAAGGGCCCATTAGTCCGAAAACAGAAGGTTAAATAGTCCGAAGGTTCTATTGACCGAATAGACGATATGGTTCGAAAATACGAATCGACCATACGGTCCGTTAGTCCGAATGGACGATAAGGCTCGATAGTCCGAATGGACAATAAGGTTCGATAGTCCGAACTGACAATACAGTTCGACAGTCCGAATGTAAAATACGATTCGTCGGTCTGACAGTTCCGACCATCGGCCAGTTACAGTCGATTTGGACTATCGGACCTCATTGTCGATTCGAACTATCGGACCTTCAAGTCTTTTTTGATTATCAAACCTTATTGTCAATTCGGAATAATGAACCTTCGGACAATTGAACCTTATTTTTCTTTCGGACTGTTTTGAACATTCGGACTTATTCTGAATTCAGACTACCCAACCTTCGGATTATTGGACCTTCGGACTATTGCATCAAATGTTCGGATTAACGAACCTTATTTCATTTTCAAACTAACGAACCCCCTCTTATGGGATTTTTGTGCATTCGGACTATAGAACCTTCGGACTAAGAACCTTCGGTCTATCTGACCTTCGGACTATCGGGCGGACCCCGTGGTTACACAGGCTACTTTTTCTTTCGCCCTTTTTTTCTTCACACATGGTGAAATGCAAATTATTCACCAAAAGTGATACATTTTAATCTTTTAGACTAAAACAAGAGACAATGCGCTTGGAATTAAATTAATTCAAAACGAGATTCGTCTTTTTAGAACTTTTCAATCTAAATCTACACTGCTTTTCACCCACGCTTTTCTTGTTCCTGTTTTTTTTTAGAGAAATTCCTTTCTTTAAAATTTCAGAATACCCAGCACAATGTTAGTTATCAATAGCCATTTCCGATATGGCATTTAAGTTCAAACCCCTTGGAAAAGAATCCTGCATACCCAATCACGATCAAGTTTCCAAGTAAATGCGATCTATCGTTTCATGTTTCAAAAACAATCAACAGAAAGTAATTGATTATACATTCGTAGGAATGTAACTTTTTCAAAATTAGCCAAAGTGGAAGCCGTTTTGCAATTAATAAGCTCTTCGCATACGGAATTTAGTTCATAATATAAAACAAGCATTAGGGCCTACATAATATTATAAATTTTCTCGAAATCACTGCTTTTGAAATTTACATTTAAACACAGAAAAAGCTGGCCACACTGTGCATATTGCATTTAATGTGTTTAAATGTAATTGCAAATGGTGTATATCATGCATACCAATACAAAATCTGGTTCAAAAACAACGTTCAATATCCACACTCCGAGCATTCTGTATATCAGACTAAATACATGCACTGCGAACTCTGCTACAAAACACACCCAAATAATCGGCCCTTGGGCGACAAAATTCAATTATACGGGCATGGAAATAGAAGCGTTACTGCTACATTTTATCAGTTGCATATCAAGATATATTCACTATCCCCTTTCTAATATTAATGATGAAGATTTTTTTTCACGCGGGCTTTTTATAGCATGGTATCCTCGCGATTTTCTTTTTTTTCTTTAGATTCTTTGTCCTGTTCTGACAGCTCGTGACAGGGATTTTCATTGTCAGCTGGTTTTTTTCCCACATTTGTTTTCGTCTGCGTGCAGCGCTCCATAGATTGAATCTGGTTTCTTCGAAGTTCAATTTTATTTTGAGGCCGTTTTCTGCGGCTAAATCGACATTGCGATTTCCCCGCTTCCAACCTTGAACTTTATTTAATCCCATTACCAAGATTACGTTTTCAACAAGATTATTGAGGCTTAATGGTTTTCTAAATACGATTATTGATGAATATAATAATCCTGAGAATTAAATCTTGGCAATTGCTGCCCTAGGGAAAGGATTAGTATCTCCATACATACTTAGTTAAGAGAAGTACATCGCCATCAATGTTTTAGCAATCTAGCTGTATTTAGTATCTTTAAATTGAATCAGACGGCGAAACGATTCTAACATAAATGGCACCGCGGGATTGTGAGTATGGTCGCATAGGCCTAATCGTCTACTCAGGACTGATCGCATTTTTGAATTCGTGTAATTTTACAGTGAGGCAGTGGCGTAGGAACGCGGTGGATTGTTCAGAGGTTCACATGATTTAATATGTCCGGCCCCTCCAGTGTAAATGTGAATTTGGCATTATGTAATAGTTAAAAATTATTTAATACTTACAAGTTTGTACCATGAAAATACCACCCTCCCCCTCCCTTGTCACAGTGGCGGCTGTGGGGTATTCATGGGGATCCTGCAACCTTCTGGTTTCAGATGAAACCCACTGATTTCACCCCACCCACGTTTATCCGCAACTGCAGTGTGCAATGGAGGCGGCACCCTCACGCAATCAAACTAAGGCCATTTTAATGGCATAATAGGCTCATTGCACGACCGTTTGCATTTATCCCAAAGGTAACCTTCCGAATTATTACCAAACAGCTTACTTGGATTAAAGACCGTACTGGTACTACACACCCTGTGTAATTATTCCGTCTGGCTTCCATGTCATTGAGAAGAAATCAAGAAAATGCAGCTGATTTCCAATGATCTGTCAATGTTTGGAATTAAGAGTGCTATTGACGAAGTCGTATTTCGGGATCAAAAGGTGGTGCATGGTTTTTCACTGTTTTCTCGAAAACTGTAATATCCATTAAGCTGAAACTTCAACCGGTTAGATTTGGGATATTCCTCTTTGGATTTTGAGTGATGTTATTATTAAATTGCATGCACGAAAAGCAAATAATTAAAATCCTACAAGTTACTTGGTGCAAAAGCAGAATGTCGAACTCCCTCTCCAAAAACCGTTGAGCCTTTCCTGCCTCATATGACATCCAGCCCACCGCCTTTAAATCTAAATTCGAAGACATTTTTTCCTCACCCATGAAAAAAAAATTCTCGGGACGTTAATGTGAGATATGGAAGCCATGCAGCTCGGAACCTCATCGCGTCGTACCTGTCATCACTTGCAATGTCCCACCGCTGTTCTTTCGCCTCATGTTCTGTATTTCGTTATATTGTTACTTGCCGTCAATGGAGCCGGCGATTAAGTAGTCTTCCCCGCCTCGCGGCATGCTCCCTTCAGAGAATGTTTTTAGTGACCGCGCCGTTGACTAAACCGCGTTATCAGATCTGTCATCTTAGTTCCATTAGTTCATTTTGAAGACAAACGTGCAGGCGGGAAGACGTCTTTAATTAAAGGCGATTATATGTATTGCTTCATGCAACTAAATACACTCAACCAAAAAAAGAAAGTCCCCCGCCCTTATTACTTTTTGTCTAACTCAAAAACTACTGGGCACATCTTGCTTAAATTACGACTGGTCAGTACAGAAATTCCTTAGCAATCCAGCCATACTCTTTGTTTCGTACGACCCAAAACAGTGATAATGTGTACAAAATTATGCAATTTGTGACAAGTGGTACCGAAAAAAGTTGCACTTTTGTACACTTGCAAGGTGATTGTGAACCACAACTTGCACGTATAAAAAAGTGCAACTGTTTTCAGTATCATTTGTCATAAATTGCATAAATTCGCGCACATTATCACTGTTTTGGGCCAAATAAAGAGTATGGCTGGATTGCTAAGGAATTTCTGTACTGATTAGTCGTTATTTGAGCGAGAGGTGCTCAGTAGTTTTTGAGTTAGACAAAACAGTATTGGAAGGGGGGACTTTCTTTTTTGTTTGAGTGTATAGTAAAGTTTTTTTTAAGCGCAAGAGCAGTATACATACAGGCAATGTGAAGGTAATCTCGAGACGTTTCTTTCTATCAACCATTTTAACAAATGACAAGAACAAATTTTTAATAAAACCAACGGCGTAGGCCTGTGTCGATCAGTGGGGGGTGTGTAATGGTATCTTCTTGAATTATTAGTTATTTATTAAAAGAAGAACGTGAAAAAACTGACCGCAAAATAATCACCTTTTTCAAATACTGCTCCCAATTTACCAAATTTAGTAAGTCCACATTTTGTTTGCAGTAGGCTACACATCTGTGTACGGGTGCAAGCCAGCTAGTCTGGTTCCCTGACCTGATAATTCCCCATTTTTAAATTGCTCTGTTTTGTCAGAAGTAGGGTCATGGAACCAGACTACAAGAACAACATTTTTTTGTTGGATTTTCCAGCATCTATGAACACAAGAACAAATCGGTGTAACAATATTTCCTATAAAATACACATGTACTAACTACCAAATCCTCCATTTCTGAAACTTACAGCAAAATAAAATGTTGTATATTACCTTCAATTGTAAACAAAAATCTTTAATTTAATTCAAATTACAAAAGGCTATCTCAAGGCCACTTTATAATATCACAGTAACCTAACGGTATCGCTAGATTGCTTTCTTTGTAGGTTATCCAATAAAAGGGAAAGAGTCGTGAGCTCGATGTCCAAACCAAGAATCTAACAGACATTCTCAGGTTCTGCTTTTTAACCACACATTTGCCTAACGTCTAAAACTATTATATAATTATGTTGAGCTTAACATGCTTCATGCTCTTTTTAAATTTCAGATCTCAGCAGACAGTTTCCCCAGAGATGCTGAAAATGCTCAACTGACACACAGGGATCATCGCATAACCTGGATCTAGAGGTACATGTGGGGTTGGGATTAAGGGATAGACTCTAGTCCTGTGAGTGGAGAGTTAATGATTGAGAGGATCGACGTTTACTGCTGGAGATTCTGATTAAGCTCTTAATAATGCATTAGTCTTCATAATATTCAACAATCCTGATGGGCCTATCATAATAGGTATTCTAAAAAAACAAAACGTTTACTGGGGGCCCGGGGGTGCGGGACAACATGTGGTCCCCCCCGAAGAAATATTGAAGAGTACTAAAATTGTAACCAATGTAATGTGCCCAAAATCCGGAAGATGAAGTGACCACCGTTAACACGGATGCATACCTATGTTCCCCAGTCCCTAAGTATGTTTCCCAGTCCTATAATTTCCCCAGTCCCTATGTTGCTCAGTCGCTTTGTTACCCAGTCTTTAGGGTTATTGTTAGGATTGGGGACCGGGGAACATAATAGGGATTGGGGAACATAGGTACGCACCTGTCCGCCCCTATGTTCCCCAGTCCCTATGTTCCCCGATCACTATGTTCCCCAGTCCCTATGTTCCCCAGTCCTTAGGGTTAGGGTTGGGGACCGGGGAACATAATTATAGGGACTGGGGAACATAGGTACGCACCCGTCCGCCCCTATGTTTCCCAGTCCCTATGTTCCCCGATCATTATGTTCCCCAGTCCCTATGTTTCCCGGCCCCTAACCCCAATAACCCTAACCCCAAGGACTGGGGAACACAGGGATTGGGGAACATAGGGATTGGGGAACATATAGGGACCGGGGAACATAGGTACGCACCCGTCCGTCCCTATGTTTCCCAGTCCCTGTGTTCCCCAGTCCGTATGTTACCCGGTCCCTATGTTTCCCGGCCCCTAGCCCCAATAACCCTAACCCCAAGGACTGGGGAACACAGGGATCGGGGAACATAGGGATTGGGGAACATATAGGGACCGGGGAACATAGGGACTCGGGAACATAGGAACTGGGGAACATCGGGTGGACCCCGTTAACACCCTGCAAATTCAACCTTGTGCCACAGTTCAAAGGGAATAATTTTATGACAAACCGTACTTTTGACGGGGGGGGGGGGGGGGGGTTCTTTGATGTAACTCGCACATTTCGTCTGATGGTTTAATTGACAAGCGAATTTGTAGCATAACTTGGGCCAAAGTTGCAGGGGTCGGGAACTTAAGGGACTCGTTGTCTGGAACGGACACTCAATTTCTTTTTAAAAGGTCATTTGCCGTGGGACACAATAAGGCTCAGGCTTCGAGAGTGCTCCCCCAGTGCAACCCCTCCCCCTTCAGTTAGTGACGCCACCGGTTATTTCCCTTCTCAAGAAGGCTCTGAATATTCCACTCTTACCATTTCCATTCTCCGGCATCGGTGGTCTGCAGCGTGAAGATCATTTCCCCGGGCATGAGGGCCACCGGCATGACCATTAGGTAGTAGACGCTGCTGCCCCGCACGCTGGCCACGCGCCACACGGTCACGATACCGTGGATGGCGAAGAAAAGACGGGCCGTGAAGGCCTTGACGAAGGACACCACGCTGGCCACTGTTGAACGGGGCCGCCGCAGGGGTATTATGTGCACAGCGGATAGTAGTCGGGCAGGCAGGCCTGCCTCCGCGTGGTGAGCCGTTTGGCTCATCCTGGCCTCAGATTGTTATCTCTGATGGAAGGATTCAAAGACATACACGTATGACGCGATAGGAGATACAGAGCATCCTTACATCACAAGTCCGAGACTTTGAAGTCCGGTTTCCGCTTTAATGTTCTCGTCAAAGAAGCATTGTCAGTGTTACTGAAGCGACCAGAATGCAGCTTACCAAAACATTTACCTTTAAAAAAATGTAGCTGAGGCGCGATACAAAAAAGCCCACTCTGGACTATTCCGTCAAGTGAATTGACACACGTAGGCCTACATTCGAAAAGTCTTCAACGTCGACGTTATTAAAAGAAGACTCAATCAGCTGGTTGTGATTGCATATCGTCGATGACTTCTCACGTCCGTTCTCGCACCGGGTTCATAAGCCGCTATTCTTGGAAGGAGTGAAAGGGTTTGGGCGAAGTACGCGAGTATTTCCAATCAGGGAGAGCTGACAGCAGCGAGACACTCATCGAGTTGTGACGCAGGAGACATCGATAACCATTTCCACAGATTAATGTGCCGTACCATGAGGTAAGACAGAAGAGAATGCCTGACTGTGATTCTTGCCGCGCAGCGAGTGAAGACAATCAGGTCGACTTGCGAGAGGTTCCATCCTTTAGCCCACAAGAAGCCACGAAAAAGTTGGTACTTTCCTAGCTCTTAACGTCCAGAATGTTTCCCTGTATTAATGAATATCGTGAGGAGCTCTGCTCACTCGGTTAATCTTCACAACGGTTGCCTCGTTTCGTGCGGCTTGTGTTGATGAAGATGCTATCCTCCTTGCGCATCACTGGAGATAAACCCCTCGAATCCCGCAAGAACAACCCGGATTGAACACAAAGATTTTCTAGCCTCTCCTGCAGGCTGAGTGTGGCCGTTCCGCGTATTCTCAGATAGAGACCCGTATCGTTTTTAAATGCTCCTTGGGCGAGATATGTCCTAACGCCTACACCGACGCACGAACTTGAAACACTCACGATGTGACTGCACGCAGCACCGACCTTATGCGGTGGAATCGTTAGCTTGACTATAAAAAAATAATAACATCAAATACTTATGGAGTTCTCTGCCTGGACTGGCTTCGGTGCATGCATCATCCTTTTATTAGCTTTGTGACTTCATCTTGCCGGCAGGGGTAGGCGTGTGACGTCACACGACCAGCTTATCCTTTTTTGGCGGGAGAAAAGATCATGGCCCAGGGAGGACCGTGTTATGTGCGCCCGCAGCTTACAGTCAACTCGTGACCCGGACTGAATAATTTCATTATGTCATATGGAAGTGCATTAACTTTGACCGGTGATTTAGGAGAAAAAAATCTTCACATCGTGTCTTGTCAGTAATGCCTATATTTTGTTAGAAGAAGACACCATTTAAACAGTGGGAGTCTCTAGTTATATTTACAACCCCTATCATGTAAATCCTCTTGGGAATCATATAAATTTGAAATTTGAAAGTGTGTTTTTATTCCATTGTAAAATAATACACCATTTATTTATTTGTTATTATATTTTTAAACACCACACATACAAAAATCTCGAAAGCTTAGTTAAAAAAAACTCAATATAAAAAAATACAAGATTCGCACAATCATTTAAAATCGCCGTTAGGTCGGTGTACAACAGTGATGGTAAGTGTGGAATGCTCATCATCAGTAAATGATCAAAGACACCAAATTGTCTTCGTTATACAAATGTATAAGCTCTGAAGTGCGTCAATTAACAATGCATATTTTTTGCACCCAAAATTATCAAAACATTCAACAGACCTAAGACATAATGACGTCTAGCTTTGTTTACATGTGCGCTTTCCCGTGAGAGCCAGGTGTAACGCGTCCCATTCTGACTCTCAGAGGAAAGCGCACATGTAAACAAAGCGTTACGTCATGTTGTTATTTCTATTGGTCAATAGACCTATATCATGCTTCCACCATTTTAGTCATGTTCCCTGTATCCAATATCAGTACTGAATGATAATGTTTTTGTGCAAAAAGGAACCAGACTATTTTCCCCTCCAGCCTCGCTTTGATTACATTGATTTGAATGGGGAAAAAAATCAAATGGCTGCAACATGATAATGGTCCATTGAAATGAATGTAATGTTCAAGTTGGATTGTGTCAATTGTAGCCGACATGCAAAAGTGCGTGGCTCGAAATTGCTTGGGCGGCTTAAAAACATTGAGGCTTTGTGGCAACAAATTGGGCTGGGCAGGCAAAGCTTTTTTTGTACATTATGTAGAACTACTCTTTGGTCATTGTATCACTTCAAATTTAAACAACATTTTGTTTTACTCTCTTAACATACACAAAAATATTAAACATTCAATAAAACATAATATAAAGCAACATGTAGCTTGAGAAGCAATACATGTCCATGTGCATGTTACTGTATAGTATAGCAAACAGTAGCATAACTATGGGGAGGGGGTCTACTGGGGGAACGTCCCCCCCCCCCCCATTTAAAATCTTGAATTTAATAAAAACATATATCATTTGCCTTCAGTGCCCCCCCCCCCCCGAAAAATAGCTTTTACCCAAAGGTGCCCCAGAAGTTTACACATAGGTACGCCCACTGGTCGCAAATGGGAACGTGTGCACATTATGCTCTCACGAATTAATCATGGGAGGCACGCGTAAAGCGGCGTAATGACTTCCTACTGACGCAATAATGCCTGTAAAAGTGTTGTTGTGCCAATATATTATTTGACTGCCGTTTGAAATCGCCTTACTGTAACGGCACCACACCTGAATTGCCTCCCTGTAAGTGGACGGATAAGTCACACGAGTGACAGGACGATTCGAGCTACGTTGAAATTAAAACTCACTTAATGAAATAATCTAACTTAAAATGTAAAATTCTCTCAACTTTAAGCACACTTATAAGCACTGTTAATACAACATCCTGCTCATAACAAGGAAAATTGTAGGCCCAGAGCCTGTTTTTCTTATGTTTTTCATTACTGATAATACCAGGTACCTCTTTGTAACAAGGTAATTTGTAATGTCCCTTTTTTACATGTAATAAATCATAAGGTTGGTTCCCATCAATACACAGCGCCCTCTATCGTGTGAATTTGTAAGTGCATGAGATGTTTACCTGCAAGCCATCTTGTGCCCTTCGAACTGAGAACACATGTACTACGCATTCTATGGTAAACAACGCCGGGCAAGACTTTCTAAATCCAAAAATTAGCTAGCCCCCCGAGGGGAAATAACAACTGTGAACTTGGGTCGTGAGCAAAAGTCCAGTATGAAACAACTTAATTTGGATGCACATCAATACTATTTTCCCTATTCAAAACATGTTTGGCGTGCTTTGCGTGTCATTCCACGGATTGGGAGATTTTACAGTTGCATCAGGTGTTCGCACACTTTCTTAATGGATGTATTTCCCATGACAGAATGAGTACGTTCATAAAGTCGACGTTTGTCTAGTGACTGTACATGTACATGTACAGTGGGTTCTTTTGGCAAACTCCGTTGTAATGGTGAAGAGTGCGAAACGGCTGCCAAGACCTGAAGCTGTAAGAAAATGATCGAAGCACTTGTAGTTGGGTGCATATACAGTCATGTACAATGAACATGTACAATGAAGTCAGTGATATTGTCATAAAGTTGCTTGATCAACAACCATCATTCTGGATCACAAGAAGTGAAGATGCTCTTATAGTGCTAGGCCGCGTAACTTAAAGGGCGTGTGACATGAAGTTTACTTGGGAACATAGGCGTGCAACTTCCTTCTCCTCTTAAATGTATGAAAACTGAACTATGCATCCCTTTTGGTTAATCGTACAAATTGTCCATGCTTTTCCTGACTAATGAGGGCGCTGTTGCTGTGATGTCATTTCAGGAAGACCACAGACATGCGTTTACATGTACATGTATTATGTCTATGAGGAAGACACTGTTCAGTTTAGGGGTTCCCTGTTCTAATTGTGAACCCTAAATTTGATCGTTGAAAACATTAGTGAGAAAACTTTACTCATTGGCCCACTGCCATTTACTGAAACAACAATGAATCACCAAAGAAAAGAAAATTAACGACAGCAAACTATCCCAAATTCTGGCAAAATTTGGCGCTAAAGTATTTGTAACATTAAGGTTTTGCCTGAAATGACATCACACTTTTGCTCATGAATATGCAAATTCGGATAAGCGTTAAAATCGCAAAAGGCACAAAAATAAATGCAATTAAAATGCCAAAATGAAAATTGAATAAGGTAAAATGGGACACAAAGCTGCATTTACAAGGACTGCGCGAAAAAAATACATAGCCCTTTAATTAGTGGTCTGCGGGGCTAGCGATTTCTGTGATGAGCTGATGTGGTCTTCGTTGTTTTCCCCAGCTTCCATCGCCTCTATTTCTGGTTCTACTGCTGGTGCCTTATCGCAACACACGATAGCCATGCGGTACAGCTGCAGCAGGATAACCAAGATGTTCTTGATGGTGAAGAACAGCATCATCTGATTGATGACATTGAATTTTATGAGTAAGTAAAGACGCATAGCAAGGAACGGACCGTCCTGCATGATGATGGTCGTGCATAGAGCCCAAATCTCGTTCTCGCAACACCGGCAGCAGCCCTTGCAGGAGCGCCCACCGGTGACTTTAGCGGCCCGGGTCCTGGGAGCGGACACTGACGTCAGCACCAGCGTGAACTGCAGCAGGCTCCAGTTCCACATGCCCAGGATGATGATGATCAGGACAAGGTTGCAGATGACAACCTGCTCCTGGAGACTCTCCAGGGAAAACTCCAAGATGTCAGCCGCCATGCCGATGTAGACGAGTAGTAGCTGCGACAGCTGGTCACGCGTGAGCGATCCCTTGGGGAGAAGCCATCTTCCTACGATCAAGAGGGCAAGCAGGAATTGTTCCAGGCTTAGAGCCCACACATCGTCTGACAAGGACACGGGGACACTCACTTGAAGCTGAAAATGTACAAAATAATGTTAACAATATTGATTAAGTTTGGAAAGAGAAATAGGTTTTATGCATGGTGGAAACTTCATTTGCAGTGGAAAGAACTTTGTCTATACTGTCGCCCTACTGTCTATACCCCACCTAGTCCGAAACTTTGGGAATCTCAGTACTTGTGTATGAGAGTCCCAAAAAGTTAAGGTATTGAAAACATGCTTTACAAGAAAATAGACTGGCACCTGAAACAACCAGCCCAACACCGCTTCCGTACTGCATCAATCAACCATGCCAAAAGAAACATGTGGAAAGAACCCGGAAATAATCTCTATTAGCTACATACACATTTCTCCTTAGTCGCCACCAGACTCATGGCACTGAATGAAGAGGTCAGTCTTTTCAAATACTTGGACCATGGTTGGACATGTACCAGTCCAGTCGTTAGCCTCATTTTTAAATCGCTTGACTTCCCTCTCATGTGCAAAACAAATTGAATAAATGTGTCCTTTACGAATTGAATTGAGTCTGCATATTTGGTTTGTGAAATACTGAGGACTTGTTTTGCCCAATGGAAGTTTTGGAGAAATGTGCAGGCTGATTGAGTTTTGAACATTTCAGCGCACTCCAGGTCCTAGTCTACCCCACCCTGCTTTTCGAATTTTCCATGGCAGCAATAAGGAAAGAGTTGTTTCCGTTAGTCCCATGAAAATATCTCGCTGAGTTACTTCCATAAGAACATCAGTTCCTTACCCCTGCAACATTGGAGCTGAGAGCAGATGAATTGTAGGTGGTCTCCGACGTGCAGTCCTCCCAACCCATGGAGTCGCGGTAGGCGATGCGAGTGTTGTACAAATCGAACTGCAGCAGCCACAGGCCCGGCACCACGCTGGCTAGATACAGCAGAACGCTAGGACAAAACCTGCCAAACAGGAAATAGACACAATGTAGCTAGAATCATTTGGAATCGATGAGGAAATTAAAGTGGCAATAACAAATTACCACACAATAATGAGGCTTAAGGCAGCTTTGCATACGGCGAAGAGTGTAATTAACATAGGATAATATTAAGGCACACAACATGTGGAGTGACTTACTTCAGAGAGGGTTCTTCTTGAGATCGGGTTCTTCTTGAGAAGATGTTCTTTTTGAGAAGATGGTGTATCGGTTTCACCAGGCATACCTAAGAGTGGTGTATCCCCCCCCCCCCCCCCACGCTGACTAGAAAATTGGAATTCCCCACGTTAAAAACAAAAGGTTTGCCAAAATGTTTCCTTCTGAAAAGTGTATTGCCTTACCATTTCCACTCTCCGTTTTCGGTGAATTTCAGCGTAATTATCATCTCTAAAATCAGCAGACAAACCGGGATGACGAGAAGATAGTAGATCATCTCCGAATGCACCTCCGTCACGCGCCAAATGGTGATGATGCCGTGGATAGCGAAGAGGCAACGGGCCAGCAGGGCCTTCAGGAACGACATGAGACCCATGGTGGATTCTCTCTGAACTTGTAGATCACTCAGATGCAGATGCAAGTGGTTGAACCCTCAGACTTCAACCAGGGAGAGGTTGTTTTTTTTCGGATGCACCGTGCGAAGTGACTCTTAAGGTGGAAGTGGTCTTGAGAAGTACCAGAGGTATTATTAGACCTAACGCTGACGTTTCAGTCAGTTTGTTCGTGATGTCAATATGTCCTTTCCTGATATGTTTACACTCGTTATAACTTCATCGATTTGCTTGTTCGTGGGCACTTCAAAACACCTGTTGCCGCAAGTATTTGCCTCAACATTTGTTTTAACAGGCAAATTACAATTCAGTCTCTTTAAAAAAAGTCGTCCACTAGAGTCAGCTCAACATCGTACGATTAAGCTGATTGTATCCACGAAAACATCGGAGATGGGTGACAACTTGGTGTCCACACAGACTCCTATCTGAGGAATATACGTTAATGAGTCAAAGCTGCGCAGCACCAGAAACATGAGGGATATTTCAATCTGTTGAGCAAATTCTTAGAACAAAAGTGTTGGAAAGAACAAGTTACTCTCAGGAACTCGAACAGGTGCAAACGTGCCCGACGTGCGAATTTGTGATCTGCTACTTGTGGTATGTATTCTTTTTGTTACGTCATCACCTCCTCGCCCAACAGGTCAGATGACGGTCAATATAATCCTTACTGATCCGCTACCTCCCTATTGTATCTTTCTATGGTGTCCATGCTTTGTGCGTGAATCTGTTGTCACATTGAAAAGAGGAGGGATAGTAACGGTGAAGCACTCGGCTGGTAAATAAGAGGTTGCCAAGCGATTATCAAGGACATGCGCAGTCTTTGACTTCATCACCGCTCTATACTGGAACTTAGTCAAACTTAATTTTAAGTCCTTTTTTGCGTCGTGAAACCTAAAAGCCTGTGTGGCTTTTTTAAAAATGAAATCCCACTCAGATTAGATACATGTACGGGTCCACATTTTGGAGAGAAGCGGCGATAGCAGCATATTAAAGGCACGCCCATTCTTAGGGGTGGTGCGGGTTCGAGACTTGCGCCCATGATAATTGGGAACTGAATTCTACCGCTTGCTGTTGGCATCTTCTAAGAGAATAATTATGTTATTATAAGATGGAATTTTTGCGTCGGGGTGATATAAATCAAATTAGGTTTTGCCTTTCACCGACGTTTTTTAAACACTGTATACTCAGTGTGTTACCTCCCGAGTGAAAGTTGGAAAAAATCACTCGGGTGGGACTCGAACCCACGATCCCGTTAGCTCGGTGGTCGAGTGGTAAGACATCTGCACTAGAAAGCAGGAGGTCGTGGGTTCGAGTCCCACCCGAGTGATTTTTTTCCAACTTTCACTCGGGAGGTAATACACTGAGTATACAGTGTTTAAAAAACGTCGGTGAAGGGCAAAACCTAATTTGAATAATTATGTTGTTGTTGTCTTTGTTATTACTTTCTATAGATTTTCAAAGGTTTTTTATTTCACAAAACGGGAGCAGAGGGGAGGGATGAAGTTGGCCTAGGATAAAAAAAATCATCCAAATTTCCCGTTTAGATCCACAACTGCCTTTATCTCTATAGTACCATGTGGGAAAAATAAAATTTGCAGTTAGCCGAGCTTTTCGGCCAACGTGGAACAAGCGACGCTATCCATTCCCTGTGAACGCCATTAACACCCTCATTACACTGGAGGAATACATTATAAGCCATGGCAAGAGGCCTATGTCTGTGAAAATTAGTAGGAATCCTTTTTTTTCTTCAAAATGACTGCCTCAAGGATACTTTTAGGAGTCATCATCTTTGTACGGAATTTCCTCCCAAAAGTAATTGGTTAACCCCCAAAAAATTGAACAGCAAATGAAAAATGATGAAATAAGCTTTAATTTGATGTTTGTATTGGAGAGTTGTGAGCATTTTCATACATTTTTGGAAGTGGGCGTAATTACACGTATCACTGAGGCCTATGACAGTTTACTTACTGGTCTGCAACCGCGAAGCAAAAACAGCGCCATCTACTGTTTCCTATAGTTTGGTTCCCAGACTAACGAATCTGACTGTTCTGACTTGAAGGCTGCAGACTATGTGGACCAAATAGACTAGTAAATAGACTGCCACAGACCTCAGTGATCATTACACGCAATTCTAAAAATACTCACAACTCTCCAAGGTGTTTGTGGCACCCATGAAAATTAAAGCTCACTTCGCCGTCTTTCGTTTTCTGTTCAATTGTTTGGGTTGTAACCAAATGACTTGGGGGAGGGGGATTCTATCCAAAGATGATCACTCCTAAAAGTGGTTCTGAAGCCCATCGACATTTGAAAAAGCTTAGGATGCCTCATGCTCCAGTGCAAAGGAGAGCCAAATTCACAAAAATACGAGCTCACAGTCCTCTGCACGAACGGCCTCCACCTAGTCTATGTAATAGACGCTCGTTGAATACGAGGGTCTATCACATGCGTGCAGATTCCACGATTAATTATGCAAGACGGCCGCGTAGATTGGCCAAGTTTTGACCAATCAACAGGCGTCTACTATATCGTACAAGCAGTTCGGCTGGCTGGAAAACATGGCGCATACGAGTAGTCGGGTTGGATCGCGTTCGGTACGTAACTTGTTGTTTTTTTGTTTCCCCTCGCAAGATTTCAATATAATTTACGACAATTTGATAGAAGCATTAAATTGGAGCGCAATCATGTCTCGTCTGGCCGGAAATGATGTTGTCAGAGAGCTAAGCACTTCCGAGAAACATCTTTCCATGTCTCTGTTGACAAAAGTTGGTTTCATGGAGGCCGCCATGTCTGCTGAGTCAGCTGACAGCTGTTGACTAATCAACATCCTCCGTCACAATCTGGACGGAAAATGACTGTAAACGGCTGTGATTGGCTGATGTGCTGCGTTGCATAATATTTGCATGCACGCAGGTATCAGACGTTCGTACGGAGCACACGACTCGCTCCGTAGAACGGGTGATACTCAGACTAGCCTCCACCCACAAAATGCTCTAATACCGGAGAATGTGACGGCATGCACATCGTGATTCGGTCGGCGTCACATTTCGGGCCTATTTACTGGCCCGGAATTCAAAAGATATGGCAATGAACCCCTGGCCTTCTTTGGGTGAGAATTTCTCGAAAAGTCAATAGTCAACCCACCACAAAATGAAACAGAAAATGAAAGTTGACATGTTGATCTCCACTTTTCTGTGCAGCTTAAATACCTGTGAGAGTTTTGAGTATTTTTCAAATAATTTTGAAGTTTGGGCATTTAGTACTGGTGTCAATGTTAATACAGGGGTGCATCCATAAGTCTTGAAAATGTTGATAATGAAATTAGTAGCTAGCTATAAGTAGCTAGCGTATAGGCCTAATGTACAGAAGCTGTGTTCAAGCCTAAGTTGTGCCTCGTGCAGTCATAGTAGAATAAAGCAGGGTTTCAGTGTTAAGCCAAAAAATACAGACATTCACTCGGTATGGGGTCCGCTCGACGGTCCAAGGATTCGATATAGTCCGAAGGTTCATAAATCCGAGGGTTCGAGTCCAATCACGCAAACCCTCGGTATAAGCCTGGCATTGATAGTTGTGAATAAATTTACGGACTCCTATTTTTTTTAAATGCTCATAAACATGGCAGGAATTTAGTTGGTAAATGAAAATATTTAACGCACGGAAATACCAGAGCTGTTGCGAATCATATCCGACTGTCAACAGAAATGTATTCAGTAAACTTTGGACATTTTTGGAAACGGGCAGGATCCTGCCTGCATTTGTCATGTTTATTTTTAGCCGTGACGGCTACCTGACCTACGAAGTTGTCTAGGAACCCGCCTATCTGACCCATGCACATAATTAACATATACGTCAAGGGCTCGCTCGTCAGGTCACGCAACCAGACTCAGCTATCACAGAGTCCTCTGAAAAGAAGTCCATAAGACTGCAGGCATGTGTATGACTCGTTTTTGTCTAAACGTATTACTTGTTGATACCTGCATGGAGCACATTTTAATAAGACATTATGTTCAGCAAAATAGCTTAGGCTCCCACCACAGTCCGCAAACATTATTTAAATGGTGTTAAAAACGAACAATTCTGACACGCATTAACGCCACAACTGATACGAATCAATTTATTGAAAACAAAACGCATTTAAAAAAGTTGTAACGATAGTATAGGTTTTCCCGGCTATTTTTAAACGTTTATCATTCAAATTCACCGTTTCTAATATTCAAATTCGTCCATCAACATTTATTTAGTGCACTTCCAATGTTTACTTTCGTCTTTTGTCAGACAATTTCAAATTCAGTTCAAGCAAATTCAAACAATGAGCACACGTTTTCGTCCCGGTGTATTAGATTTCGTTTCGTCTACGCCAAACTTTGTTATTCAGAAATCAAATTCGTCTAATTGATTTATATAAGACGAATTTGATCTCTGAAACTCTGCCATTTGGCAACAGCTTAGACGAATTTGATCTGCAATGACGAATATTCTCGACCGGGTGACTAAAGAAGGTGATAAAACCTTGAAAGACTAAATTGGTTTTGTTAAAAGCGTGTGGAATTTTTATCGGACGAAATTGAATGTTAGAGTTGGTGAATTTAAATAAAAAATGTTTTAATATAGCCGGGAAACCTATAGTATATTTTGAAGCTAATCTAGGAATATTAAACCAAAGTACATGTACCAACTTTTGTTAACCCCAAAAATTCACCTTACCGCATAATACCTGTCGCAAATAAAATTCTCCAAAACCGATATCAGCTAAGAATCGTCTCAAAATATAAACAGATACCATTACATTTATATATATATTTAACTTGACACTCTGACTTCATAAGTGATTTTGTTTAAAAAAAAACAACCAACAATCTTATCAGTCAGCCAGTTAACGCAATCGCCAATCAACTTAATCTCAAATCTGCAACTATAGTCATGTCCGAAATCGGACACTGTTGAATCCAAACAGGTCGTCATGTACAGACCATGTGCCCTGTGACGTCATGCCGATAGCCAACCGCCGGGCAACCCAAGTATTTTGCCATGCATATTAAACAGTATATGACACATGGCCTATAAGACCTCAAATCAGGAGCTGTCCATTTGCGTTTGGTAAGCTCTGGCAGGAGCTTCTACAAGTCACTTGGATGTCGGTCGGTCGGCCGGTCGGTGGGTCCCCGAAAATTGACCAAAAATATTTTACCAAAACTGAGCAAATATGCCATGCCTTCGTTAGTAAATTTACTCTAAGAAGTGTTTGTAACAATTCGTAAAGTTGTTTATTCAAATTTTGTAAACGGGTGCAAAATATGTGAAGTTCTACAGTCACGTGGTATTTCCTGTAGTGGTTGGACGGTATCCAGAAGGAAGAAATGAAAATTGACCACGGCGTTGCATTTTTCGCCATAGCTTATTGTGCCCTCACACTGTCTTGCTATCTACTTCGGCACACCAGACAGGGGATGTCCCATTAGTATGTCAAACAAGATGAGTGTAGATTTGATCATTTGCACTACCACAGTGTATCAGACCAGGAGTGGTTTGTTGGTCTTCATGTACCGTTGTTGGTGTTTCTCTCATAACCATAGTACATGTGATTATTGTCACAACAATCATAAACAAAAACCTTCGAATTGAGAAGACACTTCACTACCGTGTATTTAGTTTGTATATAATATGAACCATTGCATATGGGATACATTTTCATATAAAGTTCCTTTAAACTTCGAACAAGTGGTCATTAACATGATTCTTCACAAAAGCCATTTCACAACAATCAATAGACATTTACGTCTATAGGCCTACATGACGTGTTTAGTTTCAAGTTGTATATCATGAGCCAATCTGTGGGATGCATTGTTTACAAAGTTCACGAGTATAGTCCTCGAAAACAGACAACTTAACCAGAGAGAAATAATATTTACAAATTGTTCTTTTCACCCCAATTTGAATACTTAGTATACAGTATTCGAAAGTAACCGACAGTCAACAATCAACATATTCTATAAAACACCATTCCACTAGTGCTATACATTTTTAAAGGTTACGGGAGATTAAGAACTTGAAAGAGAGTATTTTAACTTTGAGGTAAAATGAAAGTTATGATTTGTGGAATGCATTTAGTAATAAACAATATAGTCCAACCCCGATATAAGAAGAGCTCTGTTAATACAACATCCTGCTTATAACGAGCGAAATTTAGGCCCAAGTCTTTTTTTCTTTTTTTTTCTATTTGTACTGATAATACAAGGTACCGAATATAACAAGGTCATTTGTTAAGTCCCAAGGACCTTGTTATAAAGGTGTTTCACTGTGTACTTGTATAAGCCTAGGTGGCCTGCAGTTTGGATCAGCAAACCATGCCAGAATTGACTCTCCCTCCCTCTCTCTCTGTAATTTGGTTGCTTTAGTAACTGTAAACGATTCCGAATTCTGTCAAAATAACTAGCATTAACGAGTTCAGGGAAAATTTTATGAGTGATTCCGATGTTTAGTACCATTTCTCCACCAATTCAGTTGTAACCCATAGGATGGTAAAAAGGGTGCGCCCGATTGGCCGAAGGTTCTTTAGTCCGAAGGTTCTTTAGTCCGAAGGTTCGATAGTCCGAAGGTTCGATAGTCCGAATGCACAAAATGCCCATAAACGGGGGGTTCGTTAGTCCGAAAATGAAATAAGGTTCGTTAATCCGAACATTTGAAGCAATAGTCCGAAGGTTCATTAGTCCGAAGGTTCATAAGTCCGAAAGTTCAATAGTCCAAAGGTTCGGTAGTCCGAATTTAAAATAAGGTTAATGAGTCCGAATGCTCAATAGTCCGAGACGAAAATAAGGTTCATTAGTCCAAAGGTTCATTATTCCAAATTGAAAATAAGGTCCGATAGTCTGAATCGACAATAAGGTCCTGATGTCAATTCGGACTATCGAACCGTATTGTTGATTCCGACTATCGAACCCTATCGTCTATTCGGACTATCGGACATTCGGACTATTTAACCTCCTTCTGTTGTCGTACTAATGGGCCCTTCGGACTATCGAACCTTCGGACTATCGAACCTTCAGACTATAACGAACCTTCGGACTAATGACCCTTCGGATTAAAGAACCTTCGGACTGTCGAACCTTCGGATTATCGGGCTGTAACCGGTCAAACACCCTTAAATTATATATATATATATTTTTAAATGGAAGGGTAGAGAACCCCTTTAGAACGTATTGTAGATAACACATAGCCTAAGTGTATACCATTCCGAGCACTTTCACTGTGTACCCATGGAGAGGCCGCCGTTAATGGCGAAAGCATTGTGCCTGCCTTTTACTGACAACTGCCCCATTCGGCCTTATTCACGAGTCGGCCAAATTAAATTGAAAGGGAGGTACAAATCTTCGTTTTTTTGAACTTGCGAATAGAAATGAAAGCAATGGAAAAAAATTAATGACAAAATAAATACCAGTCCGCTCTGATGAATAATTTAAAATTCGTTATAACACATCCCTAATGTTTTAAGCCACATCGAAAAAAAAGGTTGGAACGTATAGTGGCACCATCCCATTCAACAGTTTACAATTTATAAAATACATTCAAGGAACACGATCAAAGATGGCTCCCTCATGAATAAGGTCTATTGAAGGGGACTCCACTGAATGTTCAGCGATAGCTGCTTGGTTTATAGTCATAAACCCAACACTTTTCTTGATGAGAAATTAAAATAAGAAGATTGTCAGATTATAAGAAGAGAAGTTCCTTGTTATACTGCTTATACCTGGTTTTTTAAGCAAGGTTCTACGAGGATGCAGTTTCGGGCTTTTAGCTCTTACACTCATAAGACATTATTGTGATGACGAGTTCAACAATTCAAGACATATCTCGTACTTTCAATCTCTTAAGATGTTTCATTATATACCACCGCCACCACCATCACCAAAAAAGTCATCTGTGACATTTAAATAGAGTGCACTGATTCCTCAAGGTGATGTTTATGTATTCCGAAGCAGAGTATAGAGTGAATCAAAGCACGTCCCATTTTAACAATTTGTATACTGTCTTGAAGAAATTAACTTGGTATGACCAGTATAGATATGAAAATTATACGAGGCTTAAGAGACAGAATAATGATCTTTCTCTTCCGGCATTGAACCAACAATATTACTGCAGGCCTGTTCACGACCTGTTCTTTCTGAAAGTATATACCCGAACATTACCACCACCTATTACCCATTACATGTTGGTGCCAATCCAGGAGGGCCTCTGATCGCCTTTGTAATTCACTTCTTCTGGCTGTTCTTCTTCATCATCATCATCCCCATCGTCATCATCATCATCAGCCTGAAAGCCTTCGTTGGACTTGCCTGTCGTTTTCTCTACCTGCTGGCCTTCATTATCGAGCCCCTGATCGCCTTCGCGATTCGATTCTTCCGACTTTTCTTCATCGTCATCATCACCGGCCTGGGAGCCTTCGTTGGACTTGTCTGTCGTGTCCTCTGCCTGCTGGCCTTCAATATCGTGGTCACCACTCTCTCCCGGGAAGAGACTAGCGCATGGTAGGATGGCCATCCGGTACAGCTGCAGCAGAATTACCAAGATGTTCTTGATGGTGAAGAACAGTAAAAGCTGACTGGAGGCATTGTATGCGATGATGAGGTAAAGCCGCATAACCAGGAACGGCCCATCCTGCATGACGATGGTAATGCACAGGCCCCAGATCTCACTTCCGAAGCATCCCCCAAGCCCGCCAGACACCATGGACTTGCGCCGTTTGGTATCCTTGGTCTGAGGAGCAGAAACCGACGTCCGCACCAGAGTGAATTGGCTCAGGCTCCAGCTCCAGAATAGCATGATGAGTGTGATGAGCGGCAAGTTGCAGACGACTGCTTCCTCCTCCACACTCTCCCCAAAGAACTCCAGGATGTCCGCGCCCATGCCGATGTAGACGAGCAGCAGCTGGGAGAGCTGTTCGCGCGTGAGTGCTCCCTTGGGCAGAAGCCATCTTCCTACGATCAGAAGAGCAATCAGAATTTGCTCCAGGGTTATAGCCCAGACATCAGCAGCAAGGCTCAATGGAATGGAAATTTGCAACTGGAAAGAGGGGAAAATGTAAAGAGATTAGTCATGCACATGTACCCGTCTTGAGACTGAAGCTCATGAAACGATGGTTGAAAACACTTTGATTTACCACTGCATCAACTCCTATGCTGATCACTATCGTTTAAAATCTGATCGGTCGGTTGATACGTTTACACATGCATAGGTATGAAGGAGCATCTGAATACATACAGTAAAAGTGTTAATGTTACATTTAAGGTTAGAGATGGTATATATAGATGCTCATTGTTAACTGTAATATTATGATGTTTTTTTTAGTATGGGCTGCAACGCCGGTTTAGTCGTACAGTTACAACCCATGATCTACCATAGTTAAAGGGTCTTACCCCTGCGACATCAGAAGTGAGACCCGACGAATTGTAGGCGAACTCGCCCGAGCAGTCCTCTAGGTCATTCGAGTCGCGGTAGTCGATGCGAGTCTCGTACAAATCGAATTGCAGCAGCCACAGACCCGGCACCACGCTGGTCAAGTACAGGAGAACACTGGGGCAAAACCTAATGGAAGCAATAGCTAATCAATTTATTGCGCAACATAATGGTCACCGATTAATACGCTTTTGAATAGTTTTATTACTGTGCTAATTACATGTAGGCCTATATCTAGATAACCGGTCCAATTAATCTTTTGGTAAACTTTTGCATCGGAAAAGGGCATTTGGTAATGATCTGCTTCTACCCATAGCAAGGATTAAATAACTGAGTAATAAATGAACGGAATTTTTTTTTCTGAAACATACCACTTCCACTCCCCATTGTCCGCAAATTTCAGCGTGACAATCATCTCCAGCGGTAGCAGTAAGACCGGAATGATGAGAAGATAGTAGACAGTGTCCGAGTTCACCTCCGTCACGCGCCAAATGGTGATGATGCCGTGGATAGCGAACAGGCAACGGGCCAGCACGGCCTTCAGAGACGGCTGAAGCATACCGCAAGATACCATGATTATTACCCAAATGGACGAAGTAAAACTACGAAGTTTGATGTGGGCCTATTGGGTTTTTCCCCCAAAGTTGATAATTCCAATGTTGTTATCTATCTCCAAAACACGATAGATACTCAACCTACCAGTATTCGGGCTCAGAATAAAGTTGTCTTCTTTGAAAATCACAAATTTAATGACAGAGGAATAAAAGACATGCCGTCTGGGGGAAGTCAGTGCATGGATATAGACCAGGGCGGAGCGAGCTGAAAATGCCACCAGTGAACCCCGTTAAAGAACTGTATGGGACAAGCTTCTATAACCCTCGTTTATTATTAAGGGACACCAAAAATAGTCTGTATAGAATCATTGTCCAAAAAGCATTGAACCATTATACCAATGACTCAACGATCCATGCGTATATACAATACCTCGGGTGTATTAATGCGTGCATTGAAATTATTGTCTTGATACAAAATAAACCCGGATGCTTTTTTTTTCTCCCGGTAAACTTTTGGCCGAAGGGGGAAAATTATAAGATCATCATCAAGACATCTATTGTGTACTGGGACAACAGTTAGCAAACAAAAGGCAGGATGTGGGCCTGAAATTCCCAGAAAGCATAGCAGAAATGTTTTTGCTGTTCGGTCTCAGCACGAAATCACCATTTTGGAACAACAATTTTGGACACAATAATTATTATTGCAGAACACAGAATTTCATGCATTTATGAGCGGCTTGTTTGCCGCCCATAATCTATTCCTTAATACAAAATACGTCCAAGTTGATGAAGATTGCCAAAGCACAGCGACTGCCGCACTCGTGCATTTCAACTTTGTTTCATATTGTTTACGGGCAATTTTTCAAAGATTTGGGTCACAGAAAATCCACATTCCCAACGCACACGCGTCTTTTGATTACGTTTTGACTTGAAATACGCGACTGGAATGGCGACTATAGCACTCGCACGTATACGCCTCGAAATTTGAGGACCAAAAATGTGTACCCAGAAATTCATACAAACGGTAATTACATGAAATCCGCATATTTGCAATATGGTGTGAACGTTTACAGTCTTTTCAACTGTTATCATTATTTGGTTCGAATACCTTTCTTAGGATAACTGTGCGTATTCCGGACGATTTTTCGTCGTTGCACAAACCATATACATGAAGCACAGGCTTCAAGCTTGGCCGGTCCTTAACAAAAGGGTAACCAAGGTCTGAGGTCAATCATAATGCTGTGTGTCCGAAAGTATAGGGGACGTTACAATAGTGGTCGTGCATATGGTCATACAAATTTCGCAGTGCGCCACTAAGAGTTGGCTCTTTCCCAGTGCTTGTGGGAGATGGTCGACAATTTCGCAGCGCGGGATATTCAATTGTTAGTTTGTCCGGTCAGTAGTTTCGTAAGCGTGTGACTCGAGTAACCGTTTGCCCTTTTCTTTTCTTTTTATCAATATGGTGTTTTTTTGTAAGGCGGCAGAACGCTATGCTCCAATCTATACCAAATTATCTCAAGTTGTCTACTGCGGACACTCGTTCAAATGGGCCGTGTTTTGTCGACCGAAAACGTGAAAAATGGACTCTCCATGGCAGCAAACTCTTGGTGGCGCACTGCATTGTGAATCGCCCGAATAATGTGAATCACTTACACTTTAAAAAATCATATTTGACCTGGAATGCGGGCCAAATTGACCTGATAACTTTCAGGATCGTGATGACACTTTTCTGGGTCAAAACTGACCTAGAAAATGATAAAAGGAAGTGTCATTTTGGCCTGGAAATGTGTCATAAATGACACGGATTCCGCGTCAAATATGCATGACTCTGGACTTCTTAAAGTACAGCGGTATGCGTATATACGTTGACGCTCAGCTACATGGCTTTGGACAATATCAGGGGCGTAGCACGGTCATTTTGATTGCGGGGGGGGGGTAAAATTGTTTGAAAAGGGCACTTGTACATCCGTGGTGAAATGTAGATTATTACGATTATGCACACTAACGGACAATGGTGCTTTTCAGGGCGATACATGCGTGAAATTCAAAAAAGGCACACGAAACGGCCGATGTCATTAAAAAGGGCACACAGTTCTTTTTAAAAAGGGCATTTGTTCTGAAAAAGGGCACTTCTTAAAAAAAGGCACTCTTTACAAAATCTTGGGGGGGGGTAAACGATGGTGAAAAAGGGCATTTGAATGGAAAAGGGCACACTGAAAAATTGCCTGGGTTAATTTTACCCAAGAAAGGGTAAAAACTGCAACTACCAAACTGGGGTTATTCTATAACCAATTGTTTGGGTTAGAATGTATGTTAAATTCAACTGAAAGTTGTAGCCATACAAGACCAAATTAAATTTGGCCTTGAATGACCACAAGTTTAGGTTGAATTTAGCAGATTACTATACCCTAATCGGGCAATCTTAATCACTCTTTGTCAGATAGGCGTGGCGTCTGGGTGAAACTTAGAGAAAAGCTTATTGAAACATATTTGTTACACTATCCCGTACTATGCGGAAAATCTTTGTTTATTCACATTCTTTCGAAACATAACTTACAAATGCTCAAGTCCAAGTCCGATGGGTCTCCTATACCATAGGACAACTTAGGTTCAGTTCTCGCCTATAGGTCACCTATACCCTGAGCTCCTTGCCCTTTGCCCCCTTCACTGTGTACTGACACGCTCCAGTGATCATCCAGCATCCTTCAGTCAACTTGCATCCTTCTCAGCTTCACCGGTTTCGAGCTTCACCAGTTTGCATCCTTCTCACGCCTCACCTTACCCATCATTATAACATCGCATCATCGTTGGAATCCCTAATTCTCCTGACGACGGGCAGAGCATACCGCAAACTTATCTTGTCCTAGTATCTTTCCACCATGTAAACCTTCAAATCTCATAACTTATAAAACATCTAAAAATACTTGCTACTAAATGGGGACACGACGAACTGCAGTACAACCTCGGACTAAAGCGCGGTTGTTAAAAAAAATTCTGAAGTGGTCATTTTCTGCTACATGACAATTTCAAATACAGTACTTAACTAAAAAAAAAAATAGACAACAATAAGTAACAGATTAAATGAATCGAAATTTCAGTGACAGAACTCTTTGTGCAAATGCACACAAAATTACCTCTTACCTTAACTTAACACTCGGGGAAAACACACGACTATAATGCCTCGCGATAGCCTGTCAGATTTGGTACAGCATTCCGTAGACATTGAATGATTTCAGATACATCTATTAAATCTAAAAGCAAGACAATTCAAGAGAGTTACATGTATTTACGATCTAGGCTGCAGGACATGCAAAGCTTTGAGAACTCTTCTGTCTGACACTATAGTGACGGGGGGAACGAATAAAGACCGGGATCGGTTTCGAAACGTCTGATGCCGCCTCATTTTATCGGGCATTATACTCTTATGAACAATCTGGGAACCTCCCGATAGTCCGAAGGTTTGATTGTCCGAAGGTTCTTTATTCCGAAGAATACTAGTCCGAATGCACAAAATTCCCATAAGGGGAGGGGGGAAGTCCGCTATAGTCCGAAGGTTTATTAGTCCAAAGGTTTATTAGTCCGAAGGTTCATTAAGAATTGTCCGAAGGTTCGGTAGTCCGAATTTAGAATAAGGTTCACTAGTCCGACGAATGTTCATTATTATAGTCCGAATCGACAATAAGGTCCGATAGTCAATTCGGACTATCGAACCGTTATCCATTCGGACTATCGGACCATATCGTCCTTTCGGACTATCGGACCTTATCGTCCATTCGGACTATCGGACCTTATCGTCCATTCGGACTATTGGACCTTATTGTCGATTCGGACTATGGAACCCTATCGTCTATTCGGACTATCGAACATTCGGACTATTTAACCTTCTGTTTTCGGACTAATGGGCCCTTCGCAATTCGGACTATCGAACCTTCGGACTATTGAACCTTCGGCCAACGAACCTTCGGACTTATGACTCTTCGGATTATCGAACCTTTGGACCATCGGGCTGTAACCGAATAATCTACCCCAGTGCAAAGTGTCTCTGGTGGCGTTTGAAATGATAACGAACTGTGAGAATGTCATGTCCGACAAAATACTTAAAAACTATGCAATGGAGATCTGGTCTTGGATCTGTATCAGAAAACCACTTAAGGCATTGCTGGCGACCGTGTTTTGAGTTGCTCTTCACTTGCCTCTATGGCATGTGTATGCGTGCTGCTGACCGTGCTGGATGTATCGCCGTGACATACGATGGCCATCCTGTAGAACTGTAGCACGATGACCATAGTGTTCTTGATGGTGAAGAACAACATCATCTGATTGATGACGTTGTGGTAAATTAGTAGATAGAGACGCATACCAAGGAACGGGCCATCCTGCATGAGGATGGTGATGCACAGGGCCCAGATCTCGTTAGAGCAGCAGCCCAAGGCGCCCCGGCAGGAGCGCCCACCGGTGACCCTGGCGGCCCGGGTCCGGGGAGCAGACACCGACGTCAGCACCAGCGTGAACTGCAGCAAGCTCCAGCTCCACATGCCCAGGATGATAATGATCAGGAGAAGGTTGCAGATGACAACCTGCTCCTTGAGACTCTCCAGGGAAAACTCCAAGATGTCGGCCGCCATGCCAATGTAGACAAGCAGCAGCTGGGAGAGCTGGTCGCGCGTGAGCGCTCCCTTGGGGAGAAGCCATCTTCCAACAATCAGGAGAGCAAGCAGGAATTGCTCCAAGCCCAATGCCCAGGAATCGTCAGATAGGGCCACGGGAATGATGACCTGAAACTAACAAAGAACCACTTCATAAGTTAAACATTATCACCGTACGATTTAGAATAAGCCCCATTATCTCATTTTATCCCTTATCCCTGCCTGTTTCTTTCTTTCTAGCATCTCACATCGATAGAGCCTGAAAGTTCACCCCTGGTGGCACGCTTCCGGAACCCTTCAATAGGAAAATTAAAGTGCAAAATTCAAAAAATGCAATGACTTTTGGTACATTGATATCTTCAGAAAATCCCCCCAAAGGGGCATTTGTAAAATTGTTACTAGATATCAATTGGAAACTGATAAATTGCCTGACGTGAGCGAAAATATCGGGCCAAAAGTTGACAACTCGGTGAAGGCTTCGCTCGTACCCCCGCCCTGCAAACAGGGCGCTGGGAAGGTCTGATGAGCTTCACAGAATCTTGTGAAGGAAGTGGGGATGGCATCCTAGGTAATTTATCGTGACATATGTATTATTGCACGGATGATCTGGCTGCAGCTGTTCCAGACCGCAGTTAGCCAAATGCTATACGAAAACTTTCTCATAGAAATGCACACATTCCATACCGGATGTGATTTCTTTTTCATTGCGGACCATGTGGACATATTTTGAGCGTCGCATAATGCAATGCATTGACCCTCCGTAACTTCGAAACGGATCCTGAGCAAGTGACACATATATTAAGTTAAAGAGATTTCCCTACATTATTACGCTTTTCAACGAAAAAAGTTATGAATTGTAATAAAAGAGTAATGACTCAGTCAATAACGGCCGTTTGAAATCTTGCAGGGTCGAGGCCCTGGGCCCAATTTCACGGCGCTGGTAAGCACACGATTTTATGCTAACAGAGCCTCCGTCTATTTCATGGAGACCGTAAGCATAAGCACAGCAAAAGGCACGCTTTCTTCAGAGGAAAAAATTGCTTAACGTAGTGACGTAATAGAAATCTCCATGCGCGCGCGACCGTTAGCACGTCCAAGCCGTGAAATAGTGCTTAAGGTTAGCAAATTGTTCTGCTATGCTAAACACAACTTTTCTGCTAACTGTTAAGTAGCGCCGTGAAATTGGGCCCCGATGACTTGCAGGTCACAGGTCACGCACATTCTATCCAATCAGAGCGTTAATTCGTCAACCCTTCCCAGCGTCCTGTTCGCAGGGCGGGGGGGGGGGGGGGGGGGTACGAGCGAAGGTGTAGGCCTATATACTCGTACATCGGATGAAAAATTTAAAAATGATTTTGTTGTGGTCATTTGGTGACAACTTAAAGTTAAATTGAAGACTAAAACGTCTTTGTCACTATTTTTATAGTGACAAGGACTACACTCAAGCCAGCCCGACTAAATCTAGAACCCATCGGCTGTAGGAAGGCAGGAAATCTTCGCATCGTTGAACACTCTCCGAGTGCGAAGAGAGAACAAATGTTAACGAAAATAAAGGAGAAGCTTAGCCGCGAGACATTTTAATTTCAGGCTTTATCTTCCTTTATCAACACAGAAGTTTTCTCTTTCTAAATCTTGATTATTGTTTTATGTAAAAAGATTATCTGCATCGGTTGGTGCACTGGCGATTGTGTGCTGGATTAATATTTAGTCATGTAATGTAATCGTACCCACCATTTATAATGTCCGTTATAGAAGCAGATGCTTAGAACACTGCAAACTTTCCTCATCGCTTCATAATCTTGTAAATATATTACCGTATCGCTGTAATCCCATGCTAAACTTATAATGCCATTCCACGATTTATAAATGGTCCCGGTGTAGTATGCAATTTGACTCTATGACATACGGACTCATTGGTTGCATTGCGCATGCCTAAGTGAAGATACTTAACACAGCGACAGGTCGAGTCCACAAGGTAAACGATACCATAATTATTTCACGAGAGTCAACATTTCATAATGACACCGGGTGTTCGCTTACCCCTGCAACATCGGAGGTAAGACCCGATGAATTGTAGGCGGTCTGCGACGAGCAATCCTTCCAGCCCATTGAGTCGCGGTAGGCGATGCGTTTGTCGTACAAATCGAATTGCAGGAGCCACAGCCCCGGCACCACACTAGCCAAGTACAACAACACGCTTGGACAAAACCTTAAAGAGCAGAAAATTGGGGCAATCAAATTAGGCCGACTCAATACAATTAATTTTACATGTTGACCTTTTAAGTGTGCAGTAATGCTGCACCGGGCTGAATGCTCAATTTTTCATGGAGATTCTTCATCTGCAGGGACAACTTTTGCTCTTTTTAAAATATAAATGAAGTCACCGCATGTTCCTCGATCTTTTGACATGTATTCGTGACATAACTCAGTTCTGCCCCTCCAAACCTTTTATCGATTTGGCCACTGCACGGTAATTTTGTGGAGAAAAAATAAATTCACCATGGTACAATCCCTTTTATTAATAAAGTCTTAATCCAATTAGGCGTCATATATACTATTTTGTTTGTTATTAAACAGCTAGCTACAGAGCGGCTTGCATTTAGTTCGGAAATGTTCATTGACAGAGGGCGCAATTTAGTGATTGTATAATGTAGTTCACAACCATCTGCACAGTGGTCCATTCAGAGCTCAGAATCTTATTACATAAGAACTAGGAATTGGTATTAAGTAAAGCATCGATTTCGACAGATTGAATAAAATAGTATTGAAGCTTGGATAACTTTTTTCCCCACAATGAAAAAGCAACATTCACGGTCTTGAACCGAAATTAGTTGAGGGGCAAAATAGGGGTGCACAAAATAATGAATATTAGTCACCCATAGGCCTATACACGTTCTCTCAGCTATTTGGTGCACCGTAAACCCAAATATTTTCTTTTTATATGTACGTAGGAACATTTGCTTTGCTGCATTTTGTTTTCGTTTGAAGTTAAAAAAAAACCTGCACAAACAACTACATTGTGAGAGAACAGAGAAAACGATTTTGCGCACATTTTGTTGGGTTTTTTTGGGGGGGGGTCTAGTAACTGGATTCCGTTACTGACACGCGTTAAAAAAACTGTCCCAGCGGAAACTACGTTCAATGTTATCAGTTTTCTTCCAAACGATACCATTTAAGGCTGAATAACGTGCCTATATCTTTTTTATACTACATGTAGTCCCATACCACATTCAGCAATTTTAGTGGAAGTGTGAGGTTCCGCCGGTTTTTTTGGAGCAACCTGTAAATTGAAAAGAGACCAGCGTGCATGAAAACAAAAATAAGGAGGGAAAATGTACATAGGCCTACCATTTCCACTCTCCCCTGTCGGTGAATTTCAGCGTAACTATTAACTCCAGAGGAAGCAGACAAACCGGGATGACGAGAAGATAGTAGATCCTCTCCGAATACACCTCCGTCACTCGCCAAATGGTGATGATGCCGTGAATAGCGAAGAGGCAACGGCCCAGCAGGGCCTTCAGGAACGCCACACACGCCATGCTTCCGTTGTAAAACAATACTCAAAATCGCCACCACAGATGGAGTTCGAAGTCAAGTAGTTAGGCCGAGTGGGTTAATATTATGGATCGTAAAACTTGTCGGTTATAATGTGTTATAGATTGGTTGACTGAGTTGCAACATCCATCGAAAACGTCACAGGCAACAGTAGGTATGACAATTAGCAATGTAGGCCTAATAGGAAAAAAACGGGGGACAATTCTCGACAAGACCATACCCACTTGCACCAGCTACCAGAGTGTTCGTCTCAATTAACTCAGATGCAATCGCGCCCACTGATGACTATGGCTCCTCCCGTTTGTTCCAGTGAATGATAGCTAGACAGCGTCGAGGTTTTTGTCTCCACTCGTACCCTCACCGCTAGCGCTACACTTTGTCTGATGCATCAGACAAAATAAAAATCAGAGTGGGATTGCTCGCTATGGTTCGATCGTAAATCAACACGGAATCGATGATACTTCCATCAAAATGTCATATCAAAACTTCTTCACGCTCTGATGACATTCACCCGTAGCAGCTGCGGTGGTGGTAATGCAGGTATCCAGGGTAACTGCATTTTGTGTATACCATGTTCAACAGGACACACCGACCCACTGTTGACTGGTGACCTGCGACAATTTGAGGCTTATACTTGACCAACCAGAATTAATGTTTATCAGCCAATGGGACTGGTTGCCCGGGGAGATGTCATTGTCCAACGGCTTTTATTCGGAAATCAATCAACTGGTGAAGGGTCAACTCAATGCATTGATGAAAGCTAATTTGGGGAATATGGTGGTCCTGCCACGACCAGAAAATTGTCAATAAAACTATAATCGGTCGTACCTGATTCAACTCGTATTGCGCAAGGTCAATCAAAATGACATGACTAATGAGCTAAAGATACTAGAAAATGGGGCCAAAAATGGAATGCTAAAGTTCATAACTCTGAAATTGCTTTTGATTTGAATACAGGAGAAAACATCGTAATTATTTCAAAAGAAAAATCAAATTTGTATGTACTATGCACGGGTAACGTCGTTATTACAGAGCCACAATGTTTTCCTCAGTTCCGATATTATCATTCCTTTTGTTCACTGAAAGACTCTCACCTCACCCCTTGACTCCCTTTGACTTGACTCCCCCCCCCCGGTTCTGTTTCCTTTATTGTCTCTTCCTTGACCACTTTACCCTTACTTTTGCTTCGCATCTGTTAATGTAGGTGCGCTGAGGACACAGCTCAGCCGAAGGCTAGTGCAGAACTTCGATGATCATACTTCGGCGCGCCCTCTCGTGTTCGCTCTTTTTTTCACAAGCAAACCCACGTGTTTAAAGGGGGCGCTCTTTATTACCTATTTTGTACCGAGGGCTCAACCAAGCACAGAGAATGGACACGAATTTCCATAGAGACCAGCGATAAATCCTATACTTCAAAATTAGTTTTAACAATACTAAAAAAAAATCACAGTTGTTCAGGCTGCACAGAAATATGATGAACAACTTGTCGTCTGTCATTTTTTGTTCAATTTTTGGTGGGTAATATTGACTAATGACTTTTTGAGAAATTCTCAACCCCAAACATTAAGCTTAAGAAGGCCACCCCTAATTTCCCAAACTGAAAAAGTAGGCGCCATTTCAATTTCAAGTCAAAAAATGAACTCTCCACAACATTGCTATTTGTAGCACCACTTTTCTGACCCGATGGCATCCGAATTTCCGAAATGCTCAGAATTGGAAGCCCCAGAACGGAAGTCCAGGACTAGATAGGTGCAATATATACCATCCATCATCCTCAAAACTATCTAATATGATTACAATAATGTGTAACTTTTATTCATGAGCTCGGCGCACGTATTTTTTGTACTTGGCTATCATTTTCAAGATTTTTTTTTTTGATTTTGAGGGGCAGAGTTTACCTCGACGGGGCACATTATTTTATAACCGAGAGAGGGGCACTTCAGGGCCTGGGAAAATCTGGGGACGGGGCGGGTGGGGCAAGTGCTCCTGTTTGTATCAATTTCCAACGCGGCGGTCGGCTGACCACCAGCGCCAGAGAAATGTACCAGAATCTAGTATAAGTAGGGATCGAGCCTAGGCCAAGGCGCTACTATATACGCCGGAGCGCTTTTAGATATATCCCATGATCTCGGATGATTTGATGAACGTGTCCACGTCAGTTAGACATAAAAAAATCTCTGCGTGAAATTCAGAGAAAAATCAATTTCCTCTGAGCTAGCCTCTGAGCAAGTGGCGGGAAAACTGCCGCGTGAATGAACTTGGCAGAGTTCCAAATTCAATATGATCACACTGAATGTGACGTCATGGAGATTTTTTTTAATGGTATTTCGCCCACGTAATACTAGCCGCCACGTGATTGGTCGTCTGAAATGACAACAAACTACGTGTGTGTTCATAAACATTACGCGTACGAGAATTATCGTGAGGAAAAATTGCCGGAGTCCGGATCACAAAACCGTGTAGAATTTGGCTAAAAAAGGGGTAAGTGAAGAGTAAATCTTCTTGGATGTTTAAAATTTATGTCGTTTCATCCCTGTTTGTGTCCCATGGTCAGACATTTTCTTGTAAAGTGTGATATATCCGGTGCTAAAGGGAAGCCGGTTCGTGTCCAGTCTGTCCACGTGTTGTCATCAATGGGCGCGGTAAGCTGATGAACATGCATTTGATGCATACGATACCGTGTGTACGCCGCGGACTGATACTAGTCGGAAACTTATATTCCTTATTTGGCAATCGGTTTTTATGCATGTTTCCTTCATATAATCATAGCTTCAATAAATATATTGTTTATCTGTTGTTTTACTGTTGTTGAATGATTGGTCAGCATGATTAGCCGTTTTTCTTCATTCATAATTAGCTTGAGTTATGAATATGATTATGAGTACAACTCTCCAGCTTTTAAAGGGAATGTACATCATTGGCTTTTGCTGTAATTTTCAGAAATGAACTATTTGAGGGGTTAGATCAAATATTATTTAACTGACATGTTTGAAGTTTTGTGTTCGAAAATGCTGGAAAAATCAAGAAAAACAAAAATGTTTAAGTAATCTGGTTCCCTGACTCCACTAAAGATAAAATGGATCAATTTATAGATGTCGGAAAATTGTAAGGTAAGGGAACCAGTCTAGCTAGTCTGCACCCGTTCATAAACATGTGACCAATAGCAAACAACATTTGGACTGAAAAAAAATTGTAAATTAGGAGCAGTAGTTAAAAAATAGTTAGGTTTTTCCAACGGTGGGCGGCCGACCACCGTTGGAAATGTATACAAAAATATCATTTTCTTGAAAATGACTTGACACAAGGTGCCATCATTTTACAGGATGCTTTAGACTGCCATTTACCAACATCCTAGTAAGGTATTTCGTAAAAACTTGGTAGTTTTATTCTTCAATGTTTGCAAATGTTGTATTTTCCCTTTAAACAAGCTCATCAGGAATTCACATAGGCCTACATGTGAACTCCTGATGAGCTTGTTAAGCTGGATCTGGAGTTACTCAAGCTTATTCGTAATCATCAATATCATTATCAATAATATCATGGCTGCATTATCAACATGAATGTAGTGAAAGGACTATATCTGCATACTCCCCCTACGCACAATAACAAATACACAAAAAAGCTGAACAAAAAAGTCTGTACCTTGTCTGTCGATCAAGGTTGTTAGGAAAAATAATCATAACTTTTTTTGGCCCCAAACATGCCAAACATCCACAGAATCGTGATTTAATCAAATGCATACTTTCGCTACGTACTAGAGGAATTCCTCCATGGTACTACTACTATTGGCTATTGTTACGGCAGTCGATCGTCTGGTTCCCTGACCCATGGAGCCTGACCTGACAATATTCAACAATCAACATCAGGCTCTGTGGCTCCGACAATTGCGCCACATCATGTACTAGTACTACAGCTGCCATTACAAAAGCCACTACGGATAGTCCCGTTGTATTCTTTGTACAATACTTTACCTTAATAGGCATGATAGGCCTACTAATACTATGGAGTACCTAATTAAAATCCACAACATTAAAGGAAAATGCTACAACTATTGCCTGAAAAATTGTAACTAACATAACTTTGAGTTGTGAATTTATGTTGAACTTGAAGTGTGCATAATTGTTTGGAACTGTTGCTAGTATTATACTAGCCTGAAAAGGAAAGATTCCCATATCTGGCCATCACTAAATTTTCCCTTCAGTGGCCTATCAAGTATCAGCCATCAGAATGTGATAATATTTCCTAAAAAGTCAAATTTAGCAGGGAAAATATTGAAGTATTTACAGAGAAAACACTGTGAAATTGATATGGGAATCTTTCCCCTAAAATTTTGGAAATCAATCTAGCAAACCATACATAACACATGTGTATGGCCTTTGTAATTGGTGTACATGAACCTTTAAATCAGACATGCAACTTTTCCTCGGATCAGCTGATTTCCTCTTTTTTTACTTCCATGTGTGCCATTGAAAATAGAAAAACACTGTACAAAGTCTGGGACAAATTTTAATTTCCTCTTTTTTTATAAATCTTAAAATTAATGTGGCCTGACGTTGCGAACTTAGCAAGTTCTTCTTCAGAGGCTAAAACAGAAATGACAGAGGTACATACATTAACATGGGGGTGTACACAAACATGCAGGGCTGAAAGAAGAAACACAAAAGGAGCAACGTCAGGCCACATTAATTTTAAGATTTATATATTTCAGGTCCATCCAGTCAGTAAGCAGTTTGCAGCAGTTTTACTTTTTTTCATGTTCCTCTTTTTTTGTGATTTCCCAGTTGCATGCCTGTTAAATTAAGTCTACAGTTTACTGCCAGGCGACTTTTGTCTATAAACAAACAACTACACTGTACAATCTCACCACAAAAAGGGTGTATTTCGTTTTTGTAATCTTATCCAAAAATCAACTGAGTAAACCTTGAAATTTGAACATTGAACACTTTACCCGGAAATTCTGTGCTTTGTTGTGGGATAATTTGCACGTACACTGATTTTTTTTTTAAGGGGTAGGTAACAAGTGCAGAAAGATTACCAATCTCTACTCAGAGGCTTGTGAAGGCTCATTTGTCATAGTTAAATCACCTAAAACTTGAAAATGGATTCTATCATTGGTCTAACCACATCGAACGATGACCTCTGTAATCCTCTTTAACCTCTGCAGGTCGAAATCAAGGTCTTGTTGATATTGTAGAACGAAAAATACATATTGTGATAAGATTGGGGTTTTTTTGTGGAAAATAATTTCAACATTTTAATCGCAAGGTACAAGGCTAACTGCATACGTACATGTAGTATTGGATTTTTGAATTAAAGTACACAAGGACAAGCATGTTGATTGTTTGTAAAAGCTTAAATGAAACATTTATGAACAAAGCTAAATTATAATTGATGCGTAATTTCTAACTTTATATTTTAGTAAAACTTAGTTCAAGTCTTACCTAACAGTAACATATTTACATTCTTATACTGTCATTTTTCAACTTTGCCTGTCAGCTGATAGTCAGGTCAGGTTTTGAAAACAAAACACGCCCCAATACGTGGCAAGAAAATAAGCATATTCAGGCATGCAACTTTTCCTCGGAGCCATTGATTTCCTTGTTTTTTTTTCCTTGTGATGAATGTCATTACAAATTGAAAAACACGGCACAAAGTCTTGTGAGGTTTGGAATTTCCTCATTTATTCTAAATTCCCAGTTGAATGCCTGCTTTTATATTACCCATCCATCAAGGTTACTGGTTGGAGATATCACATTATCGTAATGATTAGACAACATCCCTTAAGTTAGTATTTCCATACTTCCACACAGGAAACACCAGCTGTGTAGTCGGCTACAAAACACTCTAGCTGTAGCTGATCCTGTCTAACCAATCCGGGGACTGTCACGTGGCTGCAGTATGTCCTACCCCTGTATCCTGCAAGCCCAACCACCACACAAACCACACTACATCACACAGCAGCAGCATTCCCAGCAGCAGCAGCAGCAGCAGCAACCGATTCCTGGCAAACAGGAGGCTATTGAGATGCGTCCAACGGCAGGTTTCATACTCTTACCCCAGGATCCACCCATGCAGCCCAGCAGAGTGAACCACCAGATGGAGACAGCCATGTCAAATGGTAAGAAGGGTCCATAGATCCACGTAACTGGGTAGTGGGTACTTACAGTGCGATTTTCAATATTGGTCAACTAGTTCCTGTCAGAGACACAAGTGTGTACATGTACACGTAGGCTTAGGTGACTGCAGGTTGGGACCAAAGAGAATTGAATTCGTACCTTGAATTGGAATCATGACTCCCTTTTTTTTTTGAGGAATCAATCAATTCCCATTCAAGTGTAGTAAGAATTCCAGTTCCCACAAAGTAGATTCCACTCACTCCAAAACAAATGGTTTCCCATTTAGTGATTCAGCCCTACCAGTACATGCATGTGTATGTTTTAATTTTATTATATTATGAAGGATTTCTCACAGATTTTTGGATTATGATTAAACTGGGAGTTAATTTGGACTTTTTCCTTTAGGACAACATTGCAATTATCGATTAAAAACTACTGGAATCACCCAAGCTTACAAATGTATGGCACAATGTACCTTTAACAGAATGTGTTAGCATTATTAATGCACAAGCTGATTTACCCGATCATAGATCGGGAAGGGCGTATTTGTGTTGGGGTTGAAAATGTGGGGAGTTAAATGTAAATGGGGACTTAGTTGAGAAGACATGCAGTTATAGAAAAGCTATAACTCTAGGACTTGTGTAGGAAATAAATAATCAGATTTGAAATTGCAGAAAGCACTCACTCAGAATTCTTTGCTCGAGAGGAATTTAGAAGCAGAAGAGAGTGACATTTCGAAAGTGAAACTCATTACCCGGTTTATATTTCCGGGTAGTAGCAATTTTTATCACTGGTCAGCAATAGTCTGTTAATTATTGACTGACTACACTAGTATGCGAGTCGAAACTGATGAAGGAAATATTACCCTCAGGGTCTGTTATTAAACCGGTAACTGCTTCCTTGGCAGACTTGTTTAGTTTCCCTGTTGTGCGTTTTCCTCAAACAAGTACAGCCTGAAAGTGGAGTGTGTAAAACACTGTGTACTTCAAAAATGGGATTTATTAGGGCAGTTACTTGAATGACAGAGTTTGTGGTTCCGGTAGTTTGGGAGCATTATCTCCAACCCTCAATTCAGGAATGTTTGCGGGTTGCAAAATTCACTGGTTCCAGGCATAAACAGTTCATTTGTTTACATTTGTACTAGGGAAAGGAAGGGTACAGCTTACCAACGAAAGAAAAATAGTGAGATCTAGGCTTGTTTCTGGTTCCTCCATCAGATTCTAACTTAGAAAGGAGAGCTGGCAATATTAGTTCAGAAGTGAGACCATGCATTTGCTTTTGCTATAATCACTTATTTAGATACATGTATGTGAGGATTTGTGTGTACCCGACATGCCATCTTTCTTGAGATGGCTGTGAGTGACAGTTTCACTGCGAAGAGCTATGGTAGTGCATGTCCCCTAGCTGTATGGTACATGTAGGGCCCACAATAAACCATGTACATGTTTATTATTAAATGCGTTAATTTTAATAATCTAAAAGGGTCGTGTGGTGATATCGCTGTTAGATTCACCTGGCTCTTTGACTTGAGGGTTAAAGGGAATATACAACATTTGCAAACATCGAAAAATAAAACTACCAAGTTTTTGCGAAATACCTTAATAGGATGTTGGTAAATGACAGTCTAAAGCATCCTGTAAAATTATGGCACCTGGTATACTGTCATTTTCAAGAAAAGTGGTATTTTTGTATCAATTTCCAACGCTGATCGGCCGATCAGCGTTGGAAACAACTGGCTTTTTTTTCAAATACTGGCCCCAATTGACCATTGCACTTGTTTGCAATCGATTACAAACCTATGAACGGGTACGAGCCAGCTAGACTGGTTCCCTGACCTTACAATTCCCCAATGTATGTAAACTGCTCTGTTTCTTCTTATATGGAGTCAGGGAACCAGACTACAGGAAAATGATCGTTTTTCTTGGTTTTTATAGCATTTTCGAACCCAAAACCTCCAAAAAGTCAGTGTAACTATATTTGCTTTATATTTCCAACCCCCCAATTCCATCCATTTCTGAAAATTACAGCAAAAGCAAATGATGTATATTCCCTTTAAGGATACCCGGTACAATTGCACAATGTAGCAATTGCAACAGCAGTAGTGTTCCAATTACTCAGTCAAGTCTTACATGTAATCAATTGCCATAACTTTTCAGGCAATGGTGCAACAATGTACATGTAGCTGCCCAAATTTTGATTTTCATCATCTATTTCTGTAGGACATGCTTCCAGGACTTGATAATAATATGCATGTCTATGTGTGTACCAGTATGTGAGATTTTACTGTGCATGCTGTGCAGCAAGTTACCCAAGGATTTAACCCCTGTGCTTGGGGTTATGTTTAGAGACCCAGTTGGTGGCCCCTGTTGGGAGTGAAAGCTATCCACCTCTTGACCCTGGAACCTGCAGACTCAGCTTGCTACATGTTGAGCCATATATTTTCAGTGGTGCATGCACCATTTATGGTGACTCTGAATCCACCCTTGTAGCATGGAGCTATTTTGGACAGGTTTCCTACTTACATACATAATGCGCAACCTATGTAGTACAAATTTGTAAAATAGATCACCCCCTACTGTTGAAGTATGCAGGGATTTTAACTTTCACTTTGTGCTACATGAACATGTTACATTGTTGGGTTCAAACATTTCGTGAAGGGGTGGTTTGGAAGAGAGAAATGTATTTCCCACAAATTTTGTATTGAAATAGTAGTTCAGTTTTCAGGATCTATGTCAGTTATAAAACAAACATTAAGTGGCTTTAAATTGTGACATGGGAGGAATATTATAGCTCAGTAAAATCTGGACATTTCTTTTCAATCAGCGATTTTCCCTTGCGATGAGCCACTCAATTCGTAACCATCCCATGTCTTCCCTTTGAGCAAGTTTTTCTCATTATGTACCGGTTCATGTACATTCTACATCCTTTTCATTTTCAGGGAAAGTAAAACTTCCCAATAATGTATCTTTATTAACTTAAAATGTACCCCATGACTTGTGACTGCAGTTGAGTAAATTCTGATTACTGTGTTAAAGTAGTAGAAATGGTAAATAGTTTTACACTGAAAAGAAATGAACTCTAGCGTAGCATGATTATTTGAAACATGTGCGTGTGTTCATCACCTAGACCACTGGTGAATAATGCTGGCATGTAGTACACAATGAACAGGAACTTGTGGATCTGAGAAATCCACAGTTGAGTAGTTTCTGGTGAAAGCGACTCATGCAGCCACAACCCAAATGCAATGGTGTGATGGAATGTTATGGAAATTTTAACTCACAGTAGGCCATTCTCCAAAAATAATCTGTGCCACATGCAGCATTGCAACTCTTTATCAAAGGTCATGTGTGTACGGTACATTTACCCGTTTTCACCAATATAAATTACCGTAACATATGTACAATGTATGGGCGTGTACATTTGTACCTGTACGTACCGCTTTTGGACTTTTAGATTGCACCCATTTCAAGTGCTAAAGATTTCTATTTTGTTAAGTTGAACTTGAAACAAACATGGATGTACAAAATGTATGTGCATGTACAATTGTCTCAAAAACATGTGCAGTACAAACTGTGTATTAATTTTAATAGACAGTGTACATGTATTTAATTATTTAACAATGAAAAATACATTTTTTTTAATGTACTGGTACATGTATCAAGATCAAGTAAAAGATGTGGATAAGTTGGCATGATGTGGGAGGAAAGTATACATACCGGTACATTGTACTTCCTCTTTTTATAAAATGTGTATACTCTTTTGATGAAGTATGTAACAGATGTAGCTACCTAGAAAAAGTCTCCATTATGCATTGTGTGCATTCATCACCAAAGGGTGCTTTCCATAAACTTGCCCATTGTGTGTACTATTGCATGTGCCCCTTTTGTTGACCCTAAGGGTGTACCAGTGTATAGATCCTCTGAAGTTTTTTTTTTGCTTTGGCCATTTGTTATGCAAAATTGTGTCGCCCAAGGCCATTCGGTCAGTTATTTGTAGTGCACTGCAGCACTATTGAAAGAGTTGTAAATAACAGACTTTGCCCTCTTCTGTAAGAAGTTTTTCCGGACACTGACAACCGCAGAGTGCTCTGTGACACTGTGATGAGGAGGCCTGCGTGTGTGAGTAAACAAGCAGTTTCAACCAGTGGTAAAAAGGAGGCGGAAACGAAGTCATAAACATTTACATCTAAAAACGAATCATGGATAAATGAATAACGTGGAGTTGTGAACCATGGAACTAGAAATGGAAGGTAAATAAATATGTTCTTCAAGTACATGTAGAACTTGTTCTCAGTGGTCATGATGGTAATGTGCACAGTGGAACATTTTGCAAAAAAATCTTATTCATTTGGGCATTGCTTAGTTTTTCTACATTGTATTAATTTGTTCTGACAAGGATCATAATGTAGTACCCTTCCAAGCCGATGTACATGTACTCAACTCAGTAACTTTGAAAATCCTATAATTACTGTAAGATGATACTTTGTGCATGTGTAAAAGTTTTAATTTGACCCTAACCATCCTTAACCCTTCAAAACCCAACTGTACATTTCGTTTGAATTTGTTGGAGTGAGTACTGCGCTAGTAAACTGATTATGGTACGTTTTAGGCATACAGTTCCGGTACTTGTCACCTTAATCAGAGTCCAACAGTTTGGGTGTTGAGTTTACCATGGTGTTGGATTTTACAAGAGGAGTGAGGAAGGTTCCTACATGTACGATGTATTAAATCACTCACGGGGGTTATAATTAGGGCTGAGCAATTTAATGTTACCATATTATTTATAGTTAAATAACTTAAGAAACCACATACATGTACCGGTATACACAATACACATGAATAATTTATAGAAAATCTTCTGACTCATCATCTGATGTATGGATAACACCATGGCAATTGATACTTAAGTTAAACACATGATGAAACAAAATAACTCAAGGAATGTGAATCACTCAAGTCATCTGTATAATGTGTTAAGATGTCTGCCTCTGCCATTCCTTTGGAAACGATGCAAAGATAGAATGCATACATGTACATGTACAGATGTAGTATGCTGGATCCAGGATGACTTCATACTTAAGTATGTACCAGGCATGAGTTTAATAATGATGTGACACATCATGTCTAGCAAGTAGCATGTAAATGTTCTGTACGTAATACAATATGGATGCAAACTTGCAGTATTCACTTTTCTTTGGAGTCGTGAACTTGGCCTCAATTTCTGAGACTTCCATTAAATTGTCCAGTACACATTTGCAACATCCTTACAGTATCCCTTTAGCATTTAATAGGGCCTTATACATTGTGCAGACAGTACACGTGGTGAAATATTCTAGGTGATAATTTAGAATTGAATAATTGAACAATCTGTCAGGATATGTAATTGGTAATGCATGTACTTGTGCATGTGTACATGTACAACTCATTTCAATGAATTATGTATTCAATTAGCCAAAATGATCTAATGACATTACATGCAAATATGAAAGCATGTGTCCAAGTATCGGGCATCACATCAAATTCACCTGCCCCCGGAGTTAAAAAGTAATTAAGATGCCATTGAGATTCCCTTCTGATCGACATGATAGTTTTTCGTTGGTTGTATTGAGCAAATTGTCCAAGTCTTACAGCCCATTAATCCTGCAGCGATAAAAATCAAGTCTCCTCATGCCTAATTATTCCCCATTCATTGCTGTATACACACCGGACCTGGCCATCCGGGCACACTTACAGAGGCTGCGCTCTAAAGACACATGCAAGTGCATTTACATGTACAATGTACGTGCATACCGGTACTCGGGAAGATTGTAGTAAGAATATGAAAATGAGCCGTCTCGCCCGCCGTCAATGCATAATGCTTGGGTGACTAAATCTCAATGCACACAGTCAGGATGAGTCAGCCAATCACAGAGTTGGGATGGGGGGGGGGGGGGGCTCTTTCTTTTTTCCCGCTGTCTCTACTCTCTGCAATTGTAAACAACCGAGCTGCGAGGGCGACGGCATCACGCCACCGCGTGTTGGCCAACCCACGTGCGTGTGTGCACGTCACTCATGAAAAGGATCCAGGGAAGAAGGGAAAATGTCATCGCTGTCTGTAGAAACCATTGCACACTGAGCCCACTGAACCTAATCCTACTGATATTCTGTCTACATGCTGACTCAGGAATCGGTCAACTTTAACATTTAAAATGCCATATTCAGGAATCTTTTTAACACTTGAAATAAGAATTCCATAGCCAAGCAATATGAATGTATTTTAACCATGTACATGTATTTGTTTACACTTTTTTTCAAAACAAATGTTAATTTATTCTCGTACTACTGGTACATGTACACTTTGCCAATGATTAAAGGGAATATACAACATTTGCTTTTGCTGTAATTTTCGGAAATGGATGCATGGGGGGGGGGGGGGTTCAGTATTTTATAGCAGATATTGTTACACTAACTTGTTTGAAGTTTTGTGTTCGTAGATGCTGGAAAAACCAAGAAAAACAATCATGTTCCTGTAGTCTTGTTCCCTGACCCCACTTAAGATGAACTGGAGCAATTTAAAAACGTCGGGGAATTGTAAGGTCAGGGAACCAGTCTAGCTGCCCTGTACCCGTTCATAGTGTGTGTAATCGATTGCAAATAAAATACAGGCTTACTAATTAGTATGGTAATTTGGAGCAGTAGGTCCTATTTGAAAAGAAAAGCCGTTTTTTTTTTCAACACTGGTCGGCCGACGAGAGTTGGCAATTGATACAGAAATACCACTTTTCTTGAAAATGGTGGCACACCAGGTGCCAAGATTATCATGATGCTTTCATTCACTAACAGTCCAGAACGGTATTTCATAATGTTTGATAGTCTTGTTTTTTTAATGTTTGCAAATGTTGATATCCCGTTCAAACAAGTTTTCATTTGCAAGTGATGACACACCACTGAAAAGTTGTCTGCATCACTTGAATGCATCATCAGAGGTGTGTCATCAGCCCATGTCTCTAGCTGCATCCTGAGGCAGCCATCTCAGTCTACTCGTTACTAATCCCTCTCCTAATGAAGGCCTCCTCAGCCTGATGCTTATCATTGCATTGTTAACATCAGAAGAGAGCAGAGTCGATGGGGGAACCATTTTAATGTCAACATTTTGAATTTATTGTTACAATGTAGCACCAGTTATTGTTAGTGGTAGTTTCATTTGCAAAAAAAAAAATTAAAATAAAATGCAATTTTGTGATGTTAAGTGTTGCATTGTGTATGAAGTGTTTTGGTTGACATGCACAACGTGTCAAGGTGTCATTCATTAATGTATGATACATATCTCTGATGCGACTTGCCCCCCAAAATAGAAAAACTAGTAAAAACAGCAAAAATCTTCATCTTTGTATAACACAGACAATTCGACATGCATAGACAGTGTCAATATTATCCACAAACTGAATATAACATGCTACTGATTTTTTGGTGACCTAATATGGGTACAAAAAGTACTCCACAGTTGATTCATGGTAGATGAAAACATTTGATTCATATCAGAAACCAGAGCTTTCACCACAAAACCACAAAAGGGCACTACTTTTAGACCCGAAACCATCCATCGGCATTCAGGATGACAATAGACCCACTGGGCTGTCACATACCGGGTACCAATTTTTTTCTTTTGTGACAGAAAAGTTTTGGCATCCATTATACTCAAAACACCAATCTGAGATTGTTTTGTGTGGGTGTTTTTTTTTTTTTTTTTAAAGTTTAACTAGTGATTCAAATTCAATTATAGACCTACTATTCATATCACGTACAGGCTAAGAATATAATATTTCCTGAATAGGTTGCATTCTGCACCAAGTGTGGGATTTTTTTTTTAAGTGACTGCTGAAAGTGTACTTTGTTATAAAATTCAATGAGCATACACATGGACATACATGTACATGTACATGACTTGTACACTGTGAAATTTCACGCAATATGGAATCTTGATCTTATTAACTTGGTTCATAAAGTATGTGTACATGTATATGTAAAATTCAAGCAAGTATGCCGGTACATGTAACTGTACCAGGCGTGTGTCCTGACTCCTTCGCAGTTTTTCTTTCACTAAAGTCTCCAAATCATTTCATTGAGTTACTTTGGGGAATGCCTAAGGAATGCTAAGGTTATCTTCCGATAGGGAAATTGTCTTTCGTTACCCTCCAAATATCTCCATTTATGTAGAGTCATTGTTGCTCCATGGTTGCTCAGGACTTTCATTCATTGCACCCCACGTTGAGGATGGCAGCTAAAAAACAGTAAAACTCTAAGAGCAAGGGTTACAGAAGAAGTCACATACATGTACAGTAAGCATGATCAGGGCTTTAGTCAGCATTGGAAAATGGGGTGTCCAAAGGTAAAACAGTGTCCAAGTTGCTCACGTTTTTATGCCCCAAAAAGGGGGTGGTTACTATAGCCTACCAGGTGCCTACATGCAAAACCTGACCCTTCATATAAAACCTTGGCGCAGGTTGAAAACAATATATATCAACAGTTTAAAGAGACACTCCCTCTCTTCTCTCATCTGTAGGTATGGCCATGCGCCCGGCCCCAGACTACAACAACCCACCCACCTATGCCCTGGAGGATAGCAACCGTAGGTCCCAGCTTCCTTATTCACACCACAACCACAACTACGAGGAGCTACCCTTCCCACCCCAGCCCACAGAGTCCAGCACGGATGACGTGGTGCTGATGGAGGGGAAGGAGAGCTTCCAACGGCAGGGCTCACACACCGAGGTGGACCAGTACTTCAACCCGCCGCCTCTGCCGGTTCACTCCATCTCCAGCACGCCGCTGACTATCACTGAACCTGCTGAGAAGAAACCAAGGTAATCACATCTACATGTATAGCAACTTTTAATATTCGAGTTGAGCTTGTGCGTAACGTGGTTTGCTGAGTATGGGCCTTTTCATACTACCATCTCACGTACCCATGCTGAAATCATCACGGGTCCACCGTAAGCAGAACCGGGTACCATCAAACATGGTAGACAAGACAGAGTTGTATGACTCGCGACTCGGACTCGGACTCAAGTTCGACTCGAGTCCCATTTTCTGTGACTCAGAGTCGAGGCACGATGACAAATGACTCAGACTCGGACCTGCGGACTTGGACCTGTGGACTTGGACCTGTGGACTCGGACTCGACCTGCGTAACTCGGGAATCGATCAAAATTACCACAAATCACTTTCTTTTTCAACGGTATAATTACAAATTATTTTGAAGGCGATCCTTTCCTGAGCAAGCGACACAGTCAATGCGGTACAGAAGAAACGCATCTAAGTACTGTAGGGGCCTACATGTACATGAACAGCATGTGCGGCTGGATTTTTTTCAGATACGGGTACATTGATAATTTGGGAAATGAGTGTATCGAAACATGTATTCCAGCATGCACACTTGACACTACGTAAATGCAGCTTGTTAGTGTTTGGCATTTAGATTATCCTTTCCAGAAATAAGTCACACATTGATGTGCACTCTTGCCAATGAACTACTAAACTTGCTTTTGGAGTCTCTATTGATTAATAATTGATTAGCATTGAACACGTAGTTGCTCATTAACCCTAACAGCCCATAACCAATCAAACTCCAACAGTAGGTTAGTGTTTAAATCTGTTGGGATAGGTACAGTACCCCTAAACAGATGGTCTTTTACACTGGGGTTGGCATACCTCCAGAAACTAAGTCCAACAGTGTGTGTGTACAATTTCCCATGTGGGTGTTGGAATTTGCCTGAATGGGTATGGCTCCTAGTAAATTAGGCTGGGGTTAATGAATTTATAAAGCCATACAGTGCTGGGGCGGTTTAGGGAATAACAGACAGGGTGCTTGAGGATTGATGGTACAAGAACCTCGGTTTAGTACATGTACGTACGTACATGTAGGGTTGGAGGCAATGTTGCAGTTAAGGGTTCTGTCACCAAAAAAAAGAACAGTTTGGGAGACTTGAAAGTTTGCTGGGAGGAAAATCAGCAAGTTAAAGATCTCATTGTATGTGTACATGTATTGTTCATCATGAAGTTTGTTGGTAAATTCACCTCCTAAGAATTTAAATAACAGTCACTTGCAATTACATGTATGTATACATGCAAGAAAATCTGCTTTGCACATCGCGTTAAGTCTGATATAATTATAAAATGTAATGACGCATCTAAAAACTGTACTTGAAAACTAACACAGTATACAGTGTATGTACATGTAATGCCAGGTGCATCCCAGGTCTCCTTCATTTTTGTAAAACCCATGGCTTGTATACAAATCCCAGACACAAACAGTGCAATGCAATCTGTTCAGAAAGAACCATTCTTAGTATCCTGGGGGGTAGTTGTAAAGAAAAGACCCATACCGGTACTTGGGTTTTCCCATTTGAAGTAAATGCAAGGTGTTCGCAGAGACAATCTCTCACTACAGAAAGTGGATTTCAGCCTATGTGTGCATTTTGCAGTTCCGGACATGGACCCCCGTTGCTGTTTTCTTGTAATGTGTACATGTAACCTTTACATTCCCCCCCCCCCCCCAATTTATTCTAACAATCTTCTTGGACCAAAAAACTCAAGTGAACTTCATCAAAGTGCTCAAGGGGTCACTAACAAGAACCTAGAGGGCAAGGGAAACTGCCAAGCTTTGTATGTTAATTGCCCTGGCTGTCTTCCAGAACTGGGACAGTGAGGAAGTGGTGGCATAATGTGAAGGATGTAATACACTAGCGGGATGCCGCGCTTCGCGCGGCACCCGCTAGATGGGTGGAGTTGACTGTTTCGTAATAATTACTGTATACAGTGAAATCTCGATAATAACCCCAATAACTCCAAACAACTGTTAAGTCAAATAAAGAATCAGACGCTCTGCTGCACGCGAGCCTATTTGGGCTCGCCATCAGTCTCACCTAAGTTGTATTTGCGTTTAGCAACGTGCGCGCACATAACATTTCCTGTGGAGATTGTGCGAGGGTCCAGGACATATTGTCAATATAGGGGAGGGGCTAGTTAGGGTGAAAGGTGCTAGTCGGAACGCCCAATTTCCGTACAACCCGTCAACCATGTCACAAATATTTCCGGGGATGGGGAGAAATATTTCCAGGGACGGGGAGAAATGGTTTTTGTTATAGAGGGGAGATGGTGATATTGAAATCGCTGATATTGTGGAGGTTTATGTTTGTGCTGGGATTCATACCGTTTAAATGTTGTTTTAAATTGCGCACCGATTAGGAAGGTCTTGCTGTCAACAGTTGAATGAAATTAAGTATTTATTGCCGACCGATTGTCTCATGCAATGTCTCATTACATGTATATAAAGCTCATAACTAATGTTGTGCTGGAATATTGTCCAGTCAAATTGAACATTGATTTTTCAAGGTGCCAAACCATAAAGGACGTATACACCAACTGTACAATTAGGTAGTTTAGATGAAACGCGGTTTGATCTTGACCTTTACAACGTCGTATTCATAGTTCTCACTACAGAGGAGAGGAGTGGGAAGCCAGTGGGGATGGGGGTTGGATATTGTGTGGCCTATTTACATGGGCGTCGCCAGGATTTGTTTTCTAGAGGGGGCAAAACATATTTTTGCCAAAAAAATGCCTGTTTTTCTCAACACATTCTTTATTTATCAGTTTTAGAGAAGGGCAGGGACATTTAGCCCCCAACTCATTAAATTTAAAATTGAACTCATTTTTTTCCCTTCTTTTTTCTTTTTTTTTTGCTTTCGGGGGGGGGGGGGGGGCAAGTGCCCCCCTTGCCCCCCCCCCCCCTTGCGACGCCCATGCCTACTTATGTTACACCTGTGAATGGTCACTTATATTTCCGGGGAAGTGGGCAACAATTTATATTCGTTATGGTGAAGGGGGTGTTTTTTATGTATTAAGTAGTAGTTAATGTCATTATAACAGTTCGTGTTTTTATTATGGTGATGGGGTTGTAGAGCAAAGTATTGTAACACGTTTATTTGCAGAAGAGAGTAAAACTATAAGAAAGGACATATTAGAGCACTTCATAATTATGTCAAGCACCACATGTTAAATGTATTTATTACAAAACTGTGAAAATGAAATCAGGTACAATGCACACACACATTTTTTAGTAATAATGTATTTGCATTCAATACAGGGTAGTACTTTGACAAAACTCAGGGGATATAATTGTAGCAAATTTTCGGAGCGATTTTCGTTAGGGACGTCGGTCCAGGCTTGTTTAGCATAGGCAAAAACATTCCATGAAAGACTTTCAAGCGAGACGGGTAATCATTCCATAATTATTCTTGGATACAACTAAGCCAAGGATATAACTTTAAAAAAGGATGGACATAAAACAGCAGAAAAGAGTGATTATTTTTGCACTATTTCATTTTCATGACTTCTAAATAATAAAATTATGGCTAGAAGAAAAATGTGTTTTGAATGGGTAAAGAGAAAAAGCACGTCACGTCTTCGTCTTGAGTCGAGATTCTTGCTTTGGGAACTGGTTGAAGCATGCACTGGAGCATGCTTGGAGCATGGTTGGAGCTGGTCATGTGATGTGGGTGTCATCGGGAGTCCTGTGTAAAGGAGTAACAAAGAAAACTTGTAAAAAAATACATCGGCTAACAATAGCTACAAATAAATTGTTCCTGCGCGGTTTGTGCCTTACGATTCTGCGCGCCGTGCGTGCTCACGGGTGTCGGACGCTTCGCCCCATTTCCACGTCGCCCCATGTCACTTCGCCCCTAACCACTTCGCCTCATCCCCACTTCGCCCCATCCCCACATCGCCCCATCTCCGCTTCGCCCCATCCCCACTTCGCCCCATCCCCGCTTCGCCCCATCCCCACTTCGCCCCATCCCCACTTCGCCCCATGTAGTATAAAAAAGGGAAGGCTAGGGGTGCAGACCAAATAAACTGCCAAAGACCCCAGATAATAAATGCTCCCAATTCTAGAAACTCAGGAAAAATACAAACTCTCTGATGAGGTGCTCGAGACACAGATGAGAGAAATGATGGCTTAAATAAAATCATCAGCCGCTGGATTCAAAAGAATCCCGTAGGTATGGGTCAGCTCAGTGAGTTCAAAGGAACTCACTGCCTTGAGGAAAATGTTCCGTCAAAATTTGTCTGATATGTGAGACTTACAACTTCATTGATGAGATTGGTTCCTCCAAGAGTGAAATTAGGATGTCAAAGGTATTGTCGTTCTCAGATAAGTGGGAGACGGGTTGGTATAGCCGGGTTGGGAACAAAGTTGGATCTTTTACTTCAAGCTTTTTTCTCAGTAGGGGAGAGCCTAGCTTGAGAGGTTGGTTATGAATTGTTCATTTGGTGATGGGCTAATTCTTTCCGTTGGTTAGCAATTAGTGAATCTATTGAAATAGTTTTTTTTTAAGCCAAAAAAATAGATGAGATTTTTTTTTTACATGTAACGGCTGGGGCGAAGTGGGGATGGGGCGAAGTGGGGATGGGGCGAAGTGGGGATGGGGCGAAGTGGGGATGGGGCGAAGTGGGGATGGGGCGAAGTGGGGATGGGGCGAAGTGGGGATGGGGCGATGTGGGGATGGGGCGAAGTGGGGATGGGGCGAAGTGGTTAGGGGCGTCGCGCAGAAATCGCCATCTTTATTTTCGGGTTGCGTGTTTTCGCTGTGCTGTCATCGTAATTTCCCCCCCCCCCCCCAAATTTCTCTAAAAAAAAAATCAAAACCCGGCCCTCTATCTACATACCTGTTTATTGAGAATGTCTCCAACTATTTTGGTCGGGCTTTTTTAAAGTGGATTTTGTTCCCTATAGGAACCGGGCCCTTCTAGTAAATACTACACGATCGCCATGTCCGAGGCCCACGCGATTGGGTCACACTTTTCA